AATTAAAAATATATTAACATTATTAATTTATAAAATTAATTGTTTTGTATAAAAATAGTTTATTTAAATAATTAAAAGAAAAAAAAATAAAATTGGAGAGAAGTGAGTGGGCCATGTGGCTTGCAAATTGACTTGCAAATTTTGCAAGTGAAATCCTATGTGGCACAAAATTGCATTTTTGCAATTGCTTTTGCAATCTATTTGCAAGCCCCATGTGGGTGCTCTTAGAATCCAAATTCAGTTGGATAGGAAGAAAAGAAAAGAAAACCCATTAAATCAGAGAGGGATTCCATTTTTAAAATCGAATTTAGTATTTATATTCTTAGGATCTTATAAGCTCGTAGAAAATTAAAGCCATAATTTTAGTACCTTATAAGATTACCAACAAAAAATCATATCAAATTAAAAATAAAAATAATTACTTAAATAATACGATGCAACTTTTTCGAATTCTCTTAATATATGAAAAGTTCAATATTTTGCTTTTTTTTTTAAATTTCACGGTCTTTCAATTATGGATATGCAGAAACTCTATCAGTTCAAAACTGATCAAATTAAAAACAAACGACAATAATTGAATATCTATATTAACTTGGATATAATCGGATTGAAAAATTCAACATCTAATTTGAATCGGTTGAACAAAACATATTCAAATCAAACCGACTCGGCCAACATCCAATTAATCATCCTCATTCCATCATATCCAACCATTATTCAATTAACTTAAATAAACTATCATTCAATTAATTTGTTTTTAATTTGCTTAAATTAGAATTTGTTTTGACAAATTAAATTAAATTATCATCCTTAAAGATTCAATTCGATTGTATTATCCAAATATCCAATAAATAAAACCAGAATGATCCAAACATATATTGCGTTGGATTGAATCGGTTATACAATGTTAACTGAATTTGATTAGATTGATTGACAAAATCCAACCACAGATAAATGATCTGGTCGGTCGGTTTCCCAGATATCGAAACTTTGTACCCAATCATTTCATGAAAGGTAATCAGTTAAAGATAGTCACAAAAGGTATTCAAGACCTTTAAACTACTAGTAAGTACGATTATTAGTCTCATTATACTACAAAATACTTGCTCAATTTTGCAATTATAGTAAAAACGAACCTTCTTTCAAAATCTTCTCCGACACTTTTTAGTAGAACAAACCCATTAATATGCAAATCAAAGAAGTTCAGTACAAGCAAATTCAACAAGTATTGACCACAATTAGCACAAAAACCATTTGTTATTTTCTACTCCAACTAAAACCATCTCATATTCACTCTACTTGAATCTGCCTCACTTCTTTCCTTTCCTCTGTCTTCACTTTCGGAACCGTAATTTTCAGCACACCATTCTTCATCTCCGCCTTGATCTCCTCCAGCTTGTATACATCCATCGGCAGATCGATTCTCGAAGAGTACCTCCGCGGCGGCTCATCATCATCCTCCGACTCCTTCTCCGCCTCCGCTTTGATGATTAGTGTGTTCTGTTCGACAGAGATCTTGACATTGTCTTTGTCCAGGCCTGGCATGTCAAACCGTAGGCTGAGAGTCTCTTCGTTTTCATTTGCGTCCCATGACCTCCTTGGTCCGAATCCTATTCCACGAGATGCGGACATGAACGGATTGTCCACGAATTTGTCCATCATGTTGAGTATCTGGCTCAGGCTTCTCGTCGGAGAGATTGGATCAAACAGATCTGAAATCGTTACACGTACAGAACGTTAACACGTAAATCTTCAGAATTCATGAAGTACAAACAGAAGATGTATGAATCAAAGAGAGCAAAACAAATCTCGTAAGCAATGCGATTGAATATTCTTATAATAAAGCCAGGATGTAGAGCAGTTGCTGAAACAAACGAACATAAAATACGAAAACCGATAAATTTAATCCAAAATCGTTAAACATGCAGAATATTATTAGAGGAACCTTCAGAATTCATGAAATAGATACTAAAAATGTATGAATTAAGTTACATATAACAGCAAAACAAATCTCATAAGCAATTCGATAGAATAGTGTCAAAAACAAAGCCAGGATGAACAGAAGCTGCTGAAACAAACGAACATAAAATGCGAAATCGTTAAGTTGAGAAATCCAGTGACCTATTATAACGATTTAATTTAGGGAAACAGAAAGAACTAGTGAATGAACTTCTCCATTTGGTCAGGATCTACCGCTCTCAGGTTTCAGGCGAAGAATCAATAGTTAAAACACGCAACTCACCTAAGAAGAAATCGTTGTCACGGCGGCGATAGACGGACGAATCAGGACGGCGATCCGCATCAACGCTTCGATTAAAATCTTCATAAGCGGAAACCTGAGAGGAATCAGTATTGAACGACCGTCGGAGGCAAGGAGCGGCAGAGACGGAACGGATTGGAGCAAAAAGCCTGTTGAGAGGAGTAACTGCAGTGATGCCTCTCTTGAGAGCGACGGAGGTAGCCATTTCTCCGGTGGTAGATGACTATCGTCGGCGACGAATGCAGCGAGGATTATATCGGACGCTTTTTTTCGGATTGTGACGACGCTCGTTACTTACGTGGCGGAGTTATGAAGTAGAGCAGGCTTTTATATACAGAGAAAAGGTAAGTGTAGAAGATCCTGGAAAAACCGTAGACAAATGACGAAGCATCTGGAAGGCTCTATCCGCTTTATTTTCTTTTAAATAGTGTTCGATTTTTTAAATTATTTATCTTTAAAATGTGTAAGGAGTTATTTTAACAAGTGTTAAAAAGTTTAAGGAGTTATTTATGGTTTTAAAATGTTTAATAATTTATTTGTTTTAAAAAATTGTTTAAAGACTTAATCATTATAAATATTGAAGTCCATTTAGTTTTTGTAGATTTTTCTCAAACATTTATAGCAATAAAAATGTGAATTCGAAATAATTACTATTAAACTTTGTTTATAAATATTGATTTCAAACTTATTTAATTAATATATAATATTATAAAATATGTTGTATGATGGAAATTATTAGTAACAATCATTGTTTAATTATCTGTTATTTAATTAATACTAAATAATACATTTTAAAGTAAATGGATATAGAAAATGACATAAAGTTGACAAATAAATCAATTCACATGCCGGGTTCGTTCATAAAATATTAGGCTTGATCGGGCGTCAAGGCATGCGAAGCCTCGGCTTGCCAAGCCCACACTTTTTTGGGCTCGGGTTTTTTTGTACATGGATTAATCATGCAAGCAAGTTGGACCGGAAACCTACGGTTACAAAAAGAACCACCACCAAACTAATTTTCTTAGCTTAACAAAAGAATTGATAACAGCATCAAATGCAATGTTTACCAGATTTTTGCAACTACAAGTTTCTCTTCTAATGATCATAAGACTACTTTTAGGGATAAAAAAGAAGTGAAACAAACCACTCATGAATTTCTTCCCTTTCCTACATCAATTATGACCATTTAAGGAAAGAAAAGAAATTTCTACTCGACGGATATCGAATTAATTCTTCATGATATACCCGAGAATCAGCCCAATCAACGCAATGATGATTGCAACAATCAAAGACACGCCACCCCCTTCGCTTTTGTTGCTTGCTTGCCTCAAGACTTCCTGTTCATCACAATCAAACAAAATCAAACATACTCGGTATATTTCACTCCAGAGTAGGGTCAGGGAGAGATTATGCCGGGAACCAAGCCAAGCATATATAGTATATCTCACTCGAAAGTAGGGTCTGAAAGTTAGGATTAAAGTTGGAAATTGTACCCATAGGGGCGGGTACATGCGGGTACCCGACCCTAACTGGGCGGGGATTCCCCGCTTTGGCGGGTACCTCGGCGGGGCGGGGAGGGGGATTTAATTTCATACCTGAAAAAGCGGGGATCGGGTGGGGGCGGGGATGGCATTACTCGCCCCTAATGCGACCCTATAAACTTTTTTATTTTATTTAATATATGTATATAGTAAGTGTATAAATAAATATATATGTATACATGTATTGTTAAATGACAAATATATTTGATTTCCAATAATTATTTATTATGATTTTAATTTTAAAATACATTGTTTTTATACTAAACGGGTACCCGACGGGTTTCCTGAACCCTCGGGGATTAGTCAGGGCGGGGGCGGGGATGAATTACCCGCCCAATACACCCGCCCCGTTTCCATCCCTAGGTACGAGGATTATGACAGGAATCAAACCAAACATATACAGCATATCTCGCTAGAGAGCAGGGTCTGTGATGGAATGGATGAGGGCGGATTATGACAGGAACTAGACCAAATATATACAGTATATCTCACTCTAAAGTTAGGATCTGGGAGGGATAGGATGTAGACAAATCTTTCCTCTACCCTAAGGGGTAGAGAGGCTGTTTCGGTTAAGGCCACTGGCTTATGAAAAAGTTTTGTTGCGACAAGATTTATCAAAAGGACTTCTAAAGGATGGATTATGAAAGGGCAAAAAGGGAAAAGAACGACTCACCAATTCTTTTCGAATTTTGTTACTTTGTTCAATAGCAGCATTCTTCTCATCTGTCAACTGTGAAATAAGGGCTCTCACCTGAAAAAAAATCCATGAGCATGGTTAACTAACTCATTCGTATCCACCAATTTGTGGATCCAATCTAAAAACTAATGAAACCAACAAGCCTAGTATATCCCACCCAAAGGTGGGGTCTGACTGGTTGAGATGTATGCAGACCTGACCTCCCTACACCCCAAAGAGTAGAGCAGTTCGGTGAAGACCCTGGGCTTGTTCATGGTGTGCAGATAAAGATTGCTCAAAGAGTTTGCAGAAAAAGAGCATAAGAAGAGCATTCAGGAAAGAACTTGAAAGCAACAAAGTGAGTGTTGAAATTTGAAAAACAAGTTAGAAGTAAGCATTTTGTGGATCCAATCTCTATTGATTCAAATAACAAATCAAACAAAACAAGCCCAATATATCCTATCAAGAGGTGGCGTCTAGGATGTGAGATGTACACAAACGAGTCTTCTACCCCAAAGAGTAGAGCATTTGTTTCCATGAAGACCCATAGCCTTAAGAAATCTTTGTTGATTTAAATGGGACCCACAAACCTCAGTAGATATGTGGAACTCATAAATTGAAAAACTCCAAAAAAATCCAGAACTCAAAATCTCCAAAAAAAAAAATACATTAATCTCCAACAGATCCTCTATTTTGGAGACTAAAACATTAATTACATTATCAAATAATTAGTATATATAATAAAATATTATTTCTCTCATAAACATTTCACACCAAAGATTCCTATTGGTGTGAATATAATTAAAAAATGTTTCTCTCTCATTGTAATTATTTTTGGGGAGTTCTCCAAATTTGGAGAAATTTACACCCTCTCATGTTTTCTCCATATTGGAGAAAGTTTTGGAGAAGCCATTGGAGCAAATATATGCCCAAAATCTCCAATTTCTCCATTTTGGAGAATCTGCTGGACATGCAACTAATAGAAATGCTAAACATTTCATAAAGCTAATTACTTGACAACCAAAATTCAGTCCCACAAAGTCAGGGCCTTATGCCTGGCCTAGCTGTATTTGAGCCTTTTGCCTCCCAAGATGTCAGGAGGGTGTATGAGTTTATGTGTTGCATTTACCGTATATAATTATTATATACTTCAAAAAAAAATAGCCCCAAGAAAAATCAAAATAACCAAATTTATGATAATAAGAGAATAATTTTTGCCACAAAAATTGCTAAAAATCAACTCACCTCCGAGGATTTGTCATGAGAATCCACATATCTTCTTGAAGCCTGCAATAATCATCAAAAAAGAAATAAGAAATTGGTCTAACATGATCAAAGTTAAATAAAGAGAATCAAGAACAATAGCAGCTTCAACCACAAGGGTTGTGGCGTAGTGGTTGAGGCCCAGAGGGATCTGCCCTTGGTTCAGTTCCAGGTGTCCACAGCAATTGTGGCTACTGAATTTATCAAAACTGATTTCTTGCAATCATAATCTGCCAGGATTAGTCTAGGCATAGCCTGGGACACCCTTCCCAAAAAAAAGCAATTTCACAAACCAAAAGGCAACCTCAGTGCCACTCAAATTCCCCCTATCGATCACTGATGCCCTCGGTGATGCCTTCGGTGAAAACACGTCGTCTACTGTTCCCTGTGCAATGGCTGCTGAAGTTGATGGGGTCGCAGGAAAATATACCACTCTCAATTTGCACTCTTCCACCACTCGCCCTGAGTCCTTAGCGAACTGTTACAAAAAGCACTACAAGTAAAAATTCTTCAACTCATCAAAAGATAAGATGAATTCTATCAAGACGAAATGGTATTTCTGTAATTTCAGTTTTCTTTTTGTTAATTCGGTGATTAGATATATTAAATAGGAAGCCTTGTGTATTTTGAGATCAATTCAGTGAAATCACAATCTGAAAAGGTTTCTCTCGAACTTTCTTGATATGGTATCAGAGCACTTTACTATAAAATCAGAAGCACTTTACTATAAACTAGAAGTGTACCTGTGCGATGCAAGCAGAATGTAAATTTTAATTGTAAACTATTTAAATTCATCTGTTTACAATTTTTGTTTTTTGGAAATGGATGAATTGTAAGATGAAATTTCCAAAATCTCAAATACTCTATTGTTTATTAGGTTGATTGATCTTATATTTGGGAAGGAAGGATAGTAGATGGTTCCAAAAACTATGTTCTTAACATTAAAGAAGAAGAAAATATGAATATTAACAAAAAATGGAAGATCTTGTATGCGTTATTGATTTGTATATTTAATACTTGTGTTCTTAAAAAATTAGGAGTTTTTAAGAGGTAAACCTTAAATGCTTTATAATTTAGCATAGATATAGCAGACAGAATTCCAGTGACATAAAAGTTAAGGCACCATAGTCCCAACAGCTTTGGCCTAGCGGGTAAGAAAGTGGGCATCCTTGCAGAATGAGTAGAAGGTCTCGGGTTCAACTCCAGACACCACCCATCTGCCCTTGGGACAATCTATTGACCTTCCCCATGATAGTCATGGAACCGGCACAGTGGGGGCACTGCAGAGGGTGGCGTCATACCCTTTTTGCAGAATCGCCATAAAGTTAAGGGGCAGTAGATGAACTTAAAAAGATCTTTTTTGGATCAAACTAAAGCATAGGAGAACGAAAGAGCATACCCTCTAAGGAATCACAAGAAGTCTCTCTACTATGACATCAGAGATGCCCAAACAAAACGGAAGAAAAGAAAAACAAACAACAGCCAAAATTAGAATCAGTGTCTCAGAAAGTTTCATACAGATTATGGTCATTATGGATCCTAAACGTCTGTAATCTACTTCTTATCATGCCTAAAATGATCTTAACTAGCACCCCACATGCCATTCAACCCTATGGAATCTCCTGATTTGGGCTCTTCAGCTTGTTGAAATCCATATACAACTCAGATGTATTAGTTCGTCTGTTAACTATTGTCAATTTTGGATAGACAAGCTTAGGGACTGTTTGATTTTTTTTCATCAAGCCAGCTATAGTAATTAAGTTGTCTGTATAAATCAAGATAAAATTATTGTTTATTTTCATAAATTACAAGTTTAACCTCAACAACACATCAAAATTTAGTTTTTTTAAAACAATATTTATAACTCAACAACATTCGATCAAATTTGATAAATGTGGATAAGATATTAATAAAACAACAATAAAATATTTGGCCAAAGAAGACAATTGGGAAAAGAATTTGCATAAATGGAAGAACCAGAAAAGGGGGAAAAGAGGGTATTTTTGGAAAAAAGATTGGCCTAATGGGTAAATGCAATGTTAGTTGGCTCAATAAATTAAGCCATGGTTTAGCATTAAGCCATAATCAAACGAATATGTTTAACTTAATGATTTAAGCTATAAGTCCATTAAGCTCATTAACCCAAAATCAGACACCCCCTTAGTTCCTTCAGGTCCCTATCATTGCTTCCATCCCTTAGATCTCAATTCTTGACCACTCGAACAAAAAAAATCATGCAACAATTAACTGGAAACATATTTCTTACCATTTCAGGGGTGATGTCCTTTGGGGTTGCTCCTGGGCTTGCAACTACACTCTGAAGGAGAAACTTGTCCTTACATTGCATGTCAGGAGGAGCATCTTTCTGAGCTTGCATTGTTACTGTAGCAAACCACACATTTAACGAACAAACCTTAAACTAAATCAAACCAAACAAACCCAGTATGTCCCACCTGGAGGTGGGGTCTGGGGATGTATGGAGATCTGACCTCTACCCCAAAGAGTAAAGTGGTTGTTTTAGAGAAGACTCCAGCTTTTGCAAGTGTACGAAAAGAGGGGATAAAAATTGCTCAAGAAAGAACATAAGAAGATCTCACTTTGTCAAGTAGTATGATATAAATGAACATTGTTTCGATTGAGATGAAGAATTTTATTATAAATTAAAGTAATTTGCAGTATTTTGAACAACATTACGCAAAACTAGACAATCGACTCACCTTGTGGCACTTAAAAGACTATTAAGGGATTAAGTGGCTGCTTAAGCGACATTAGGCAGTGCATCTTAATACAAACATAATTATTTTTCGGCAAACCAAACTGACCTCCAATTTCCCACTCAAAAGTAGGATCAGTTACCCCACCTTTTTTAAATCTAACTTATTTGGACAATAATTAGCCACCCTATTTGCATTTAGGCATATAACTAATGATTGATTGTTTTAAATTAGACAAGTAATTTGGCTACAAAAGCATAGAAAAGCTTATCTTAGTTTGCACTATGCAATTTTCGAATTTGGTTGACTTAATTTGTCAACTTTACCCAACCATTGTATTAATCTATGCAATTAATAGTTAAACCCATTTAGTCCCAGCCAAGCCTCATTAATCCAGCTTAAACTTTCTGAAACTCTTAATTCAGGATAATCAGAAACTAGTTGCCAATTAAGCCAATCTAAACAGCTACTTTCAATACACTGTTAGTTTCAATTCTGAATTTGGATATGGTCGTCAGAGAAGCTGAACTCAAACAAGAACTCATGTTTTAAAAACACGACGGATTGAAAATTTGAAATCATCATAGAAAAAAAAATTAAGAAAGAACATCAACGGAATAATAGATCAAAAAGAAAAACTAAATTAGGGAATATATAATGCACCCATGATTTCACATGTTGATCGAGGCAAAACAACTCCGGTGTTGGGACGAACACAATACTTCTTCGGATTCGTCGTTTTCACCTGAATAATTCGCATCAAAAAAACGTTATAGAAATCATAAATCCATAGTCGACTCGAGATCAAATAAATACCAGAAACCAAAATCGTACAATGAGATCATAACGCGATCTTATAGAATTATAAGAAAACCGAAAAAGCAACAATTTTGTACCTTGAATCCGACATGATTGTCGGTCTTATTGGTTAATTGAAGCGAAGAAGAGATCTGTTTATTTAATTCAACTAATTTCATGGGACAAAACAAAAAACAATCATGAATTAGATTTGAACAAAAACAAAATTGAATTTAGATTATGAATTGGATGATGCGATTGGATTAACTTACAAGGGAATTTGAGCTCAACAGGATCAACGCTGACGAGTTCCCCCGTACTCATTTCTGCAATCGAGATGTTGGAATTGAAATCTGGGTTGTTGGGGAAAAAGGGAGATATTGAAATGGAAAGAGGGTGGTTGTGGAAAAGTCGTTTTTATATGAAATATGAAAACGGAGAGATCGATGCTGATGGAGGTTTGACTTTTCACAATACGATTTCTTGGACCTCTGTTTTGTTTGGAAATTTGCAAAAGAGTATATTACGTTTTTAGTTCCTATATTTTGTCAAACGTTACATTTTTAGTCCCTATAGTTTTTAAATTATAAGATAATAATCGTGGTTTGTAAACACATCTAGATTTGGTCGCCAGCTCTAACGAACGTTAAAAAAAATCTGTTAAATGAGAGGGTTTCCGTTTTTTTTAACGATTTTTTTTGTTTTTTACCTGATCAAAATCGATTTTATGATCTTGGTTCACGTGATTTTGTAAACAACATTATCATTAATGGCTCCATTTTCACGTTTCCTAATAGGAGTTCTACAGACAGAGATGCACAAAGAGAATTAGAAATACTTGATGAGATTCAACAGATGACTTATCACTATTCGTAATAATGTTCCCCCCCCCCCCCTCGTAGTCCATTAGTGGGTAGGGTAGTAAACTTAGAGGTCGTCGCCCACTGAAGTTCTAATCCTTCACCAAAGCGTTAAATCATATCCGCTAACCCAACTCAACCCTTGGAGCATACTACAACCCCAGGTGGCAAAGAGTCAACAAGGATCAAGTTTACTGTAGAGTCGTATCAATGCATAAAGGATGCTTGTACGGTTGTTCGATTCTATATTCGCTTTCCAATTCCATCCGGCAAGGGGCCACCTTCTTCACCCCGCATGTCCACTTCCTTACATGCAAGGGGGTGATTTTAGTCCGTGTGCTTTTTTAAACTACATTATCAGCCATGGTTGCATTTTTACGTTTCCTAATAAGATTAAGAGTTCTTCAGAGAATGCACTAGGATACCATAAAGATTCTTGTATATCAATTGGTGAATCGGACTCTTTTCTTGCATTTGTACAAACTCTATGTGATTTGATGACTACTTGATGGCTACTTGATTTATTTTTCAAATTCAATAAAATAAAAAGAAGTTTAAGAGACTGTTTGGTTTGCAGAATTTAAAGAAATTTGATGAAATTGGAATGACAAATTCCCTGCTAACATTTGGTTTATGAAATGAATTCATTGAATTCTATCAAATTCTATGGTTGAGGGAATTAACTATTCCTTGACATATGTGAAAATTTTAAATTCTCATGACAATAATTTATAATCTGATTTAAATAAAAAAAAAACAAATAACATTTATATGTAATTTAACCAACACCACCACACTTGAAATTAACATTTGCATCCAATATATCCTCCATTGGTTTCTGTGTCTCAAAGTAAACATTTATATTAAAAAAGCAAATTACATGAAAAAGTAACGTATTTTAATTTGATTCCTATTTTGGATAACGTAATTTTAAAACTTTCATTTTGGTACTTAAAATGTAAAATTTTAAACATTTAAGTACTCAGATTACCGGTTACATGTGGCGAATGATGAGATGAAATAAGATTGAATAACAAATAATATTGAGTTGGATACCACATCACTCATCACATCAACATGATAACCGGTTAATGCTTCAACCGGTTACCTAGATACTTAAATGTTTAAAACTTTACGTTTTAAATACCAAAATAAAAGTTTTATAAGTACATTATCTAAAATAAAAATCAAAATACTTTACTTTTTCATACAATTTCTTCTACTAAAAGTACATGATTCTAAAAAAAAATCATTATTTTATATTTATTTTAATCAATTAAATAACAAAATTTATCAGAATATATTCCTTTTTTCTATCTCATTAAACCTTTAATATTCATACATTTTAGTTAAGGATTCAATTAAAATTTAGTAAATTATAACTATTTATTTATAAAAATAAATATTTATTTTAAAATGAATTTAAATAAAAATAGTGATACTGGACGAAGGGGGCATAATGTAAAAATACTACACCCGACCACTTGTTTCATTCGAATTTATGACCTTTTTTATACATAAAAATTCAAACAAAATAAAACCCGATACAATCATTTATTTCTTTCGGGGTGCGTTCGAAGTCATTCGCCAACCGAACTCAACAGACTGCTCGTTTTAATCGAATAATCCGCAAAAATTACACGAAACTCCTCCTGAGCCACCGGAGAAAAAAATCAAGTAACCCGAAACAGTAATGTTGAAAGAACACTATAAACTGGTCTAGTTTTCTATGGAGTCTCTAATGCATACGCAAAATTGGCAGAAGAAACCTCAGAAAATCCGTCATATTCTGTGTTCTTCCTGAGGTAATACAAGTTCTTGAAGATCATCAACCACAACCTGTTTTTGTAACGTAGAGAGTTGGTCAGACTAAACCAAACAAACACAGTATATCTTACTCGGAAGTAGGTCTGGAGGTAAGAAGTATGCAGACTTTTCCACTGTCTCAAGAGACGTAGAGACATGGCCGTTGCCCACCCCCCCCCCACCGCAAACCTTTTCCTATGTCTCTGAGAGACGGGGGCATGGTTTCATCCATGTGGTTTATTAAAAATTGCGACTTTCGTCTCTGTGGTTTTGAAATTGCGGTTTTCGTACCTATGGTATGAAATTCATTGTTATTTTCATCTTTGGGGATAACTCCTACTTTTAAGTATGAGGGGGAAAACAACAAAAAAGGACGAAAAACAGCAATAAATTTGTAAATCATAAGAACGAAAACAACAAATTATGAATCATGGGATGAAAATCGTAACTTTAAAAGCACGGGAACGAAACTAGCAATTTTCAACAAACCACAATGACGAAAAACATAATTTACTCTCTCCTATCTCAAGAGACAGAGAGGCATGGTCATTATACAACAAACTTGGAGGCTGTTTGGTTTGTTTCTATTAAATCTATATGGATAAAGTTGCCTACATGGATTGGATTGCCTATATAGGTTGGGAAGGTTTTTATAGAGAGAAGGAGCATGTTTTTTAATTGGAAGTGACATGTTCGGAAAAAACTTGGCTTTCTGCATAAAGTCCCCCTAAAAGTTTACGGGATAAGCCACATTTTATATAATTAAGCCACTACGAAACAGTCATGCATGGCTGACCGAATAAGCGGTTAGCCAAGTTCATTAAGCTGCTAAGAAACAGGCCCTCAGTATATCCCACCAGGAATTAGGATCTACAGGTAAGATGTATGCAGATCTTTCTTCTATCACAAGAGAAATAGATGCATAGTCATTGTGCGGAAAACGTGAAGTAAAACGTAAACGGGATTACCTCGTATCTATTGCCACCATAAGTGTACTTGACGTACAGTTTCTTGGTTTCATCGGGACAAGGATCACAAAAACCCATAATTCCAGATTTCTTTACGCCTTCATGTAGCTACATCAATACAACCAAAGTTACTACACGGACCAAGAACTCGCGTTTGTGAAGATACATGCTCGTGATCCGTTCAAAGAAATCAGATAAATGTTTCAACTTTGGACTTTCAGAGTCAAACATGTCAAGTACCAAATCCAAGAAATTGGACATGATAACCTTTGAAAACAGGAATGAGACTAATTTACCTCAGAAGTTTAATGTTTTCAAGAAAATTCGATTTTTAGGGTGCATTTGGTACGCGAACGGCGAGACAGAACAGAACAAAAACTTGTTCACACTTTGGTCTGACAATTAGATTGGGAACAGGCGGGACCGAGCAAGACAAAATCGCATTTTTACCATCCGACCAAAATAGGTGAAACAAAAATAAGGAAAAGGGATAAGCTTGGTGGTAAATTACTAAACTACCCATGTCAAATTAAAACTCAAACACGTTCCACAATTCTTTCAGCCACCTACCTCTCTCTCACCAGTCAAGTCCACGTGTCAAACACACCCTTAGATACATATCGATTTCCGAATTCAAGAAAATGGAGATGAATTTCGTGATGAAAATGCAATTTTTGTAACCGACCAAAATAGGTGGAACAAAAATCAAGAAAGCTTGATAAATTACTAAACTACTCACGTCAAATTAAAACCCTAAAACATCCCACAATTTTGTCAACCACCTACCTCACTCTCGCGCATCTAGTCCCGTCCGTGTGCCAAACGCACCCTTAGGGTCATACATCTATTTCCGAATTCAAAAAAATGGAGATTAATCTCGTGATAAAGATGCATTTTTTTCTAACCGACCAAAATAGTTGGAACAAAAGTCAAGAAAATGAGACAAGCTTGGTAAATTACTAAACTACCCACGCCAAATTAAAACCCTCACACCTTCCACAATTCTTTCAGCCGCCTACCTTACCCTCACTTGTCCAGTCTAGTCCGTGCACCAAACGCGCCCTTAGGATCTCGCTTCATATATTACACTGGTTAGCTTTTCTTCCAGTGCTTTCTTCTTTCCTGAGCATTGCTTAACCAATCCCTTGGGGTTTCTATTTGATTGTATTGAAAGGCCCAATGAATTGGGATTTCAGGGAAAGAGGGGCTGGGAAACTTAAAGGTTGATCATCGAAGCCAAGGCAATAAAGATGAAGGAATTTATCCAAGTTTCAACGTAATCAAAAAGAGCCTGAGGATTAAGTGCCCCACATAAGACCCTTCTTTTGAAGTTTAAAGCATCTCTAGCCACCTCTCAGTTTCTTACAGTGTGTAAACAACAGCCTTTGGTCCCTAAAATACAGGTCGATTCCCGAATTCAAGAAAATTGAGATGAATGTCATATAAAGTTAAGTATATTCTAGTTTATGGTTCTGATCATAAAGATCAAGCGTACCTTAAGTTGCCCGGAATCAGTGACTAGAAAATTTAGAGGTAAAGTGACATCCATGATCTGTGAAGCTAATTCATCCTTTTTCTCTTCAGGGTTATTGATGCTTTTCAACGCATTAGGGCTACCATAAACTGCTTCGATAATGACCAATCCACCCATCTCAGATTGTTTGTTTCGTTTCCGATTGGCCACATTTTGCAGCAGCTGCTGAGCTTTCTCTGCTGCTGCTTTTGCTTCTTGAACCTACATCATACAAGGGTAGTTTTGACTTTGTGCTCAAACATTTCTTTTCTTGGATACGTAAGTGATGAAAGAATTCAACCGAATTAAAAGTTGTGGAGTTTAGCGTTTTCAAATGATTAAAATGCTATCCAACAAAACAAAAGAATTTTCGACCCAAATCAATAAGATCAAGCTTATTTATCATATTAACATATAAGAAGAAAGTTCAAATGAGGACCATAAATATTTTGAGAACTAGGAAACCAACTATTTCATGTATCATTCATGATGAATAACCCCAAATATTCATGAATATTATTATTGATGAATTTCATGCATTAACATTTTTCATAATATCATGCATTTTCATCATTAATAATTTTCGTGATGAATATTTATCAGTTATCACAACAATTATCATGAATAGTTAGTTCACAAATTCTCAATTCTACCTTTAATCATGACATTAGACAAATCAATTATTCCTTGTATCATCAAGGGTCAAATTGTCATTTAGTGAAGAGTGAGTTATGTTTTGGTCCCTGTGGTATGTCAAAAATTATGACTAGCATCCCTATACTACATTAATCACGGATATGGTCCCTATGGTATTCAATTTCTTATGGCCATGGTCCTTCTCACTAACAGAGTAACAAAAATCTATTAACACAGTAATTCGGCCGGGGGGGCATTTTGTCTTTTTACACCTTTTTTTTGTCTTTTTCCTACAAAAATACAGAACTATATTATATAATATAATCTATTTCGATAGTTGGTGATAAATAGTTCTTATCTTCAGGCAAAAATAGCTACTTCCCCTATTTTGTTGTTGTTCAAAGGTGTTCCCCAATGTCTACTAAACAATGTGTTTGGCCAAACACCCAAAATCCTTTAGTACAATGATACCACCAAGTCTTGAATCTATTTATAGTAACAAAAAAATCAGAGGTGAAGAAAGAAGGTCGCACTACATAAAGTTTAAGCATTTCTCTACGGGGATCATATATTTCGACGGTTTAAAATTAAACTGTATATCTATATCAAATACCTGAGCGCGAGTCTGTTCCATATTCTCGAGTGCCTGTTCTTTTTCTCGTTTACGATAATAAGGTTTGAAAACGAGCGACTGCATGCATAAAAAAAGAATCATCAAACGTAATACAAATCTAAGATAATAAAACTCTATGCACTCCCTCTGCCCCATAAAAGCTGCAACATATGATGATTGAATAAATAGTTGTATAGAAGTGTTATGACTATTGCCAAATGTCTAATATGCCCTTCGATAATGATAAAATAGGTGAAACTTTAGACCCGTAACAATATCATCCCCTTTGTATTATGAAAAGATAGTTGATTGTAGGTTGACCGCTTTTTTAACAATGGATTGCTACTTTCACAGGCTGTGATTTGGATGGAAGAATATTACCGGGATTGAGCTCGAATAACTTTTTCACAATAGGCCTCGAGCTCGATACTAGTTTATAGGCTCGAGCTTGAGATCAATTAGCTCGCTTATTGGCTCGACCTCAATAATTTTTATGCTTTGATTATATGATCTATGAATATATGAACATGTTTGGCTCGAAAAAGTGTATGCTCGAATGGATCGGCTCGGCTCAAAAAAGATAATCAGATAATCGAGCTTTTGAACAAACCAAGTCGAACATTGGTGTTATGAAGCTCGACTCGTTAAGTTACATGAGTTTTTAGTGTGTTCGAGATCGACTAGAGCTCGACAATTAAGCTCAAGCTCAAGTAGCTCGTTAAAAGCTCGACTCGTTAACACCCCTATCTACGAATAATATGTATATAAACAAACTCCCTATTTCTCATGAAAATTGCAAAAGTTTCCATTTCAAGACTTATCACAACATTTCAAGAAGTCTTTAAGTCAAGAGTTATCTACTTTATATTGCTGACTTCGTAAGAACTTCTGATCTTGATTTCGATCTAAAAGGTTCTCTAATTCACATTATTGACTGGTATTCTAGACATACGGTAAATGTCAAGCAATTCCCAAAACTGTCTAGTGAAATATTGTACTCCCTCCGTCCCAAAATAAGGGTCCATGTTTATATTTAAGTTTGTCCCAAAATAAGGTGTCCACTTCAAAAATAAGTGTCAACTTTCCAATTCTACCCTTAATTACGAGGTGGAGAAATTCATCATTTCCTCTATTATCAATAGTAAAATTGTCTATTAGCTAATTAAAATTTCTAAATATGTGTGCCTTTTTTCATTGTGGACATTTATTTTGGGACCAAGGGGATAATATTTAAAGGATAGATGGAATACAAACAAAAGCCGGCATATATATTTACAACCAACCAAGGTCAGAGTGTAAAATTACTCTAACCATGTAATGCAAGCAATATCGGTTTGATTCTAGTGATACCTTGAGCATGAGATAAAGTGACGTTGGAATAAGAAACGCCCCAGTAGCAAATCCAAGATTGAAATGCCTCGTGAGAAAAATCTGCATGTTAGCACGTCATAAACATGAATATTCCAATAAAAAAATCACAGCTAACAATGATAGTAGATTAGTAGAAGGGTAATGATCCCCGTATAAAATGCAATAAAAAATTTCTCGCAATATAGATAGCAGAAAATGCCATAGAATCTTTGTAAAAGGAGAGACTATGGAAGAAACCAAACCAAATGGACCCAGTATATCGCACCCGAAGGTAGAGATGGCCATAAACTGGTACTGTGCCAGGCCGGGCCAAATCAGTCTCGGTCCTTGATTTCCTTTTTGTAACCAGTCCCAGCCCCAGTCCCGAACAAAAACCCAAGGCCCAGTCTCCATTTTCCTACAGGTCCCTACAACCAGTCCCGGCCGTGCCGAAACCGGTCCCAATTTTTTTCCCCAAAAATCAATTTCGAACGTAAAAAAATCGAAGATTTTTTTTGGACGATATCTTATTGAAATATACTTTAAAATCTCTAACTGGGTCATTCAAATACACTTTAAAAATATTTTTTAAATATTTTTTACACAAAAATGTTATAGATGTTTTTATAATTATGATTTTTGAGATTTAGTATCGGAACACTTACAAAAACTTGAAAAACGTCAAAAAGAACTTGAAAAACTTTTTAAAAAAAAGTTGAAGTTTTTGGTAAAAAAAAACTTGAAAATCTTGTAGAAATATTGAAATATGACCTCAACAATGATATGCACTTCATAAAGAAAATCTTTGAACGAAAACAAATAATTCTGGATCAGCTATGAGCACAACTGCACTTACAGGAACAACCAACTTTTGGGCACCACGATGTAATTCTAGCTTCCAGTATATACCCTATAGATGAAAACAGAAGACCAATAAAACACATCAAAGTTAAGGGCACCGAAAGAGAAGTTGCTAAAATTGAAAGTTGAAAAGGGGGTATTTTTTATAGCGAAGGGTAAAAAATGAAATACTTATGTGGCAGATACCTGAATCCCAATAGTGTACAACATTCTAACGGTGCTGAAGTTTGATATTTTTCTTCCACCCCCTATTTCAAGTTCAAGTGCACCGCTACAAAATGATGTAACCAATTTTTAAGAAGGGGTTAGAATGAAACAAATTTAGTCATTAGTAAACCAGAGTCAGAGAAGGTATCACCATAAACCAAACCAAACCTAACCAAACAAACCCATTAAATCCCACACAAAAATAGGGTTTGGGGGGTGACAATTACGCAGACATGACCTCTACCCCAATAGGGTAGAGTGACCGTTTCCTTGAAGACCCCAGGCTTGTGCAAGAATGTGAATGAAGGCACCTTAGTTAAGATATTAAAGCCTCGAGAAAGTTATTTGGCTTCCTCGATGCTAAGTGCATACAAATGTAACACAGTAGAAGGGTTGTTTGAAAAAATTGAGTGTAAAGTTTTCAAGCAAGAACTTCTCAATAGTTTAGTGAAGTTCAGTTTTGAAGTTGAATAGAAAAGTTGTTTGACAAGTGTTCTATGTCAAACATTTGAACAGCTATGTACTCTTTGGGTTGGACTAAAAATGAAAATTGTGCAAGTTCAAATGCAGTTCAATTTATTTTAAAATTATAACTAAATAAGAAGCATTTTAATCATATTGGAAGTAAAATATACAGTTATTAAGATATTAGACAAAAGTAGCAACCAAATATAAGTATATACATAATAAAATATATATATACAAATAAAACAAAATCTATAAGAACTACAAGAAAGGAAACAAAGAATACTATAAGATAATCAACAAGTACCTTCCTAATTTTCCACTAATACGCCCATGGGATTTTGAGGAGAAGCGCCGAGTATAACGAGCAACTGCGCCAATTGCGCTTGTACCGATCTGTACTTTTTGGATCATGATCATTATAGAAGTCATCAGCCACAAAAATTTATTCATTACTTCAAAACTAAAAGCTTTGAGGCTAACAAAAAGAATTGTGAAAACAACTATATACAATCGTTTAGCAATCAATTATAAAATCATAATCTTTCGAAGCTTCAAATTTTGGCATAACCTTTACAAACACTTAGAAACCATTTTAGTAATTTACTCATCAATTTGAAATCTTCTCTTCCTCCTCACTCCAAAACCACTATTCCCTCCGTTCTTTGTTACCATACATCTAAATGTCAAATAAACTACACTTTATTTCAAAATCAATACAAACATGTTTCTTTCTAGGACAAACCGATAACTACATCTAAAGGTACTAGAAATAGAGAAGGATTTGCCAATTTGGTGCTAACAATGTAAAACATAACAATTATAAACTTGGCAAATAGAAGTTTTGGCATTCAAAGTTGGATTTACAGCTAATAGAAATCAGGAGAGGTATCACATTTTGAAATTTTAACACAACTCGGTGGTCAATTGTGCAAGATATTTTGCACAGAAAGAGTCGACTTGTTACGTTCTTCTCTTTTTAATGCTTTACTTACCATAGCATTTTAAAAAGTAAATACGTGTTTCTCAATTAAAAACAGATAACTAAACAAAAAATATTACCCTAATCTCTCCCGCTGCAGCCATTTTTTGTTCTTTCTTTCGCCATCCAACAGCAACTGAGGAGTCAGAGCCTAAAATCAGCTCTATCTGGAAGCCAGTGGACAAAGGATATAAAATAATAATTTTAGAAGATAAAATAAGATAGCAGCCACAACATGAAACAAAACTTCTAGATGATAATCAATCAAAGAAATAATGTGAATAAAGAAGTATTTTAAGCCTTAAAGACTCAAGCCTTTCTAGCGTTCATCAACTTCTATCACAAAACTATGCTTCAAACATCAAAAATAATAATCTTTCTTCATTGTAAACCTTCTGTCTTAAATCACCAAGAAAAACACAATAAAAAGAATTGCATTTACTTTTAACTTGAACGATGTGTAGGTTAATGAACAGCTTCAAATATTACATTTACTTGTGTCAAAAAGAAAGATACACCACCATTTACTTACATATTTTATCAGTGATTTGGATTGCTTTAACGCCTTAAAGTTAAACCATCCATTTAGTACTTTCAGAAGCAAAAGAATTTTCATCTATTTGGAAAATGGGATGAACTCTTACACTTCCATTTGATGTCGTGGAGAGCTGACGGTTCCAAGAATTGGAAAGATTTATTGAACCATCTCTTAAAGATATGGCAAGGCCCATTGTTGCACTGGCATGACGAGATAGCTGGCTGAACCAAGAAACCAAGGAATCAAGAAGAGCTCCAACAAGAAAATAGTTCAACCCAAAGGAAATTCATATTAAAAAATAGTTTTTTTACCGAGTTGTCTGTAAGCCTATTAATCCATGCAAACCAGCAGAAGCCATGATTTCTATAGAGGATACAGAAGATAACTGATGCCTAAAGACAGCATTAGCAGCTGCATCACCATTATTTCCTTTTACTGCGAGCGTCCCGCCAACAGCAACAACATTGTTTTTGGATATTTGAGATTGGATTTCACTGTTCATCGACATTCTGCAAATTTATGGAGATTCAATGCATCAGTGTTACAAATACAATATCAAGATTTGCATCAGTTTGGAAATCAGTGCAAGAAGGATGCTCATTTGTATCCAAACATAGAGATGAAACCTAGCATTATAATCGCTTAACATTTCCATCACGTGGGTCCCACTTACAGAGTGTCAACAGAAACAAAAAGGCAATTGCATGTCCATGAGGAGAAACAAAGTACCTTATTATTCTATGTACAACTAGTTGCACGATGCTGACTTCAAATGTCAAACTTGTATTTAACAAAATTATAACTATTTTTCGTCTTCGTACTACTTATTGTATCCTTTACTGTGATTATTGATTTCTCCTCAAAACCATTAGATATATAATCATCAATTTAAATATTGCAAGTAGCTTATTTCATGTTCTTTGTCCAAGTGAACAATAAATAGAAAAACAGAGGAATAACAAAAACATCTAACATCAAAACTTACTATCATTGCTATAAATCTTAATGTGTGTATCAATCTTTTCTGCAATTAAGAAATTTATATTGATGACAATGTAAACTTTTTACTGTTTAACATGAACCTGTCACTGCAGAATAAACATTTCAGGAAGAAAATAATAATTTAGTCAAGAATCAGGAGTCGTACGCTCTCATAATACCATGCCCTGCTAGGAAACTTGGGACAGATAATTGTGCCAGAATCACACCAGAAGGTTGAAATTGGGCAGACGTTTTTTCTTCTTCTCTTCTGCGTCGTAGTCTTTCAAGTTCTTCCTTAACCTCCTCCGCTTTATTTAACTTTGGACCAAGTTCTAAACCGGAGGTTAACCCTTCCATACCATATATATCGTATATCTGTCTTTTAGTCTCGTCGGATAATATCTCATACGCTTGGCATATCCTCTGAAAGTTCTCCGTTGCTACCTCCTTCATCTGGAAATGAAGGAGAAACAATCCCATGTAAGATTGAAAAGTTAGTTTCATAACAAAATAGTCTTAAGCAAGCTGAAAAAATAGTGGGTATCATCCATTAGCTCTATAAAGTACAATCAAATAAATTTCCAAACGCAAAGAAGTAAAAAGAACCATGACGGAAAGCAAATGTCGTCCACATAGATGAAAGGATAGAGATTCAAGACATAATTCTCACGGATATAGTACATTTTCCCATGAAATGCAAAAAGACTAAAAATCTACGAATATTTATCTAGGTCATAATTACAAAATATATATACATTTTTGTTATAAATCAATACCAACATTCCTCCATTTCAATTTCTTGTATGAACTTCAATGTGTTCATCAAAATTTCTCCGAAACATCTTATCGATTTTGAAGTTGTAATTCTATTTGTTTAACCTTTAGGACTAAAAGAGGAGTATATGATCCAAAACACACCAAAACTAACCAAAATCACAAACTATCTCACATTCCGCCATTATATGCAACATCAAATCTAACATATATTATAATAATGGCAATAACAGGTTAAACATAAGAACAATAATCAAAAAATCAAATTATAATAAATTCCTGAAACAAGTTATAGAACTTTTGAACACAAAAAAAAATCACGAACCCAATACAGCCGATATTTACTTGCAGAAACACTAACCGAAACCCCATTCAAACAGAATTTACAAAAACAATTACTGAACGCAGAAAATTGATCATAAAATCAGATTTCAGTAACCTAATACGATGAAATTTTGGGGGAGAAAAAGTGCCTGTAGAGCTTGGTATTTATCAGGATGATAGATTTGAGCCCACTGACGATAAGCTTTACGGATTTCTTCATCTGAAGCTTCAGGTGATACATGGAGTAGAGCGTAGAGTTCTCTGTTCGAGGTTCCGTCTTCTTCCTTTTTCATAACTTCAAATTGGAGCCAAATCCCTTTTTAGGGTTCTACGAACAGAGAATCGTAAAAGGTAATTGCGTTATCTAGTAATAATTGCTGCAAGCATCAGATAAACAGTGGTTTTTTGCTCTGATTTGCTTTTTTTTATTGGAATCTGTGTGAGGTTTTGTGTTTCTTTATTGGGGTTTTTCGAGGGTTTCTTTGTTCCTCTTGGCGTTGTGTGTTCTGTTCATCATCTAAGCAGAGTGGGTCTAAAGAAATGCTTCTGCAAATTTTCATAAATAGTCCTTCGTCTTATAATAAGTGTCATTTAAGTCCCTAAATGTGAAAAATACTCTGAGGGGTTATTTGGTTAGTTTTTCATTAAATATTGAGTAAATTACATTTGTTGTCCCTGTGGTTTGTTAAAAATGGGGATTTTGTCCCTGTGGTTTTGAAATTTCTCTTTTCATCCCTATGGTTTTGCAATTCATTTTTATTTTTGACAATGAGGCCAAAACATTACTTTTAACTTTAAGTATGCAGGACTAAAATATAAATGAATTGTAAACCATATAAACAGGAAAAAAAACTATAAATTTTAAACCATAAGGACAAAAAAGGTAATGAGTTATAAACCATAGGGATGAAAATCGTAATTTCAAGACCATAAAGACGAAAAATATAACTTTTTTAACAAACCACAGGAACTAAAAACGTAATCTATTCTTAAATATGGTATGGATAAAGTTGTCTTGATGAATTAATCTGTCTGTATAAACTGAGAAACTTTTATTTGATATGATTTTTAAATAGATGGAATAAGTGTGTTTTTTAATCGGTGACAGGTTTGGCAAAAAATTTGGTTTTCTGCGTAAATCTCATTTCTTGAAACTTATTGAATAAGTCACTTTATATATCATTAAGCCAATATCAAATAGTCATGTATATTTGACCAAATAAGTCGTAAGTCCCGTTAAACTTATTAAGCCGCTAACAAATAGGCCTAGTACATAGGTTCAAGTTAGACTTGAGCTCTATTGGCCCCGCACTCGACTATGTTTCAGATCATGTAGACTTTGATTCATATATGCTCAATAAGCATAAAGTGTTGTTTGACTCAAATAAGCTAAATTTTGCGGTATAATACCATACAAGGATAAAAATAAACCCTTTAAATCAAACCTACACTTAAAAGCTTACAATGGAGGCCTATCGTGCGAGTCCCTCACCGGAGGCCCACTAGTGAATCGAAAGTTGGATCTACATTGGAGCTAATAGCCCGTCATACGAGCCCCCCACTGGAGGCCCACTACAACTCTCAAAAAGAACGTCACAAACACAAAAACACATGTATTGACTTTCAAAGTTTTAACGTCCAATTATCAAGTTTGTTGGGAAAAAAATTCTATTACAACAACAATGATATCACTGTTGCAAAAAGTAAATTACAATAAAGATAGTCAAAAGTTGATCCTAAGGTGTTGGAGTGTATCCAAGACCTTTCAATTCTGATCTCAATAACCCAGGTTGAATATAACCGGTTCAGGTTGGACCCATTTTTTTGATCCAATTTTTTTCCATAAAAATACAAGCTCTTATGAGTAATATTTTTTAAATTGAGCCTTAAAACGGACTTTAATTATTTACAATTACTTAAAAAACTTTAAAAAATCAGCTCCCCTTTTGAAATGTGTAAACGGTCTTAACCAATAAGCCCAAACCGAAGCGCTTCGGTCCGAGACCGGGCCTGACTCACTTTGGCTTATTACAATGGCAAAAAAGAGATTCAAAATCAAATTACAATCCGAACCACGTGTATAAAGTCGTCTTTTTTCCTACTAACGCTTTTGTGCCACTAGTGAAAAAAAAGTATGAAAATATTTTCTTTTATAAATAATTATAAAAATAAATGAATTACATTTTATCAATTGGTGATCACAAATCGAATGTTTCGGTTTATTTTAAAACATTATTACGAATTAATCTTATAAAATCCCATAAAATACCAAATATTTGTTGGATTTCAATTCCAAACTTACCTTTCAACCAAACAGAGGACTAAAATGAAATTTAATTCCAAATCTCATATACCAAATGGCCTTAATCAAATGTTTCTATAACATAGATAAAAATTAGAAGAAGAAAAATACCGCGGACCGTCCAAGACGGCAACAATCCGACAACAAACACCAACAAATGTACGTCAAATATAAGAATCGATGAGGGGCCGAGACTCGTTAGGTCCGAACCTATTATTGAGAGGGTTCCATGTGTGATCAACCGAGTCCGATCTTTTCACCATTTTATCGTCACACATTTGATACAAAATACACCCATAATGCTTATAATTATGTCGAGATAACCATAAACTCGAGAAGAAAAGTGATTTTTGATAAAGATTTATTGATTCTAACGCCTATCAGAGGCAACGGATTCAGTAGAGAAGAGGTACTTGACACGCGATAGAACAGAATCATGTGCGGGGTCATATGGATGGTCCTTTGACGGGATCTCCAAAATAGCTGGAACTGGTTTGTTGTAGCTATCGACTAGGAACCTTATCATATTGGCGACCTGTGAAGAACGATATCAACAAATATTGAAATAAAAACCAACGACTTTTTAGACCATCATACATTTTGGCTTTGCTTTTTAAACACAAATCGTTCTTGCAAAAATACACGTCAAGTTGATGTTCACGACAAGAAAACTCGTATAAAATGCACAGAGATTACTTGGCACGGAAACCAATTTTTGTGCATAATCCAAAAGGCAAATTGCATGAATAAGTAACGTACTTTAACTTGATTCATATTTTGGGTAACGTACTTTCAGAACTTTTATTTTGATACCTAAGATATAAAGTTTTAAACATTTAAGAACTCAGGTAACTTATTGAAGCATTAACCGGTTACCATGCTGATGTGGCGAGTGATGGGATGAAATTGGGTTGAATAGCAAATAATATTGAGTTGGATACCACATCACTCGTCACATCAGCATGGTAACCAGTTAATGCTTCAACCAGTTACCCGGGTACTTAAATATTTAAAAACTTTACATCTTAGGTAACAAAATAGAAATATTGAAAGTACGTTACTCAAAATAGAAATCAAGTTAAAGTACGTTACTTTTTCATGCAATTTGCTCTAATCCAAAAGGTAGACTCATCGTATGCAGATGGATGGGGCAAGACTGAACAAGCAAGAGTGAGGTAAGAGAGTGAAAGAATTCTGGAAGATTTTGAGGTTTTTAACTTGACAGGGTAGTTTATTAATTTACCGATCTTGTCTGATCTCCATTACATTTGTTTTACCTCTTTTGGTGGGATAAAAAAAAGGCATTTTGTCCCACTCAGGTCCTATCATGTACCAGCCTAATGTCACGCCAAACATAGGACAAGAAGTTTTTATATTGTGCTGTATTGTCCTGCCTACCAAACGCACTAATAAGGACTTCCTCCCGAACCCTTGCAAGACGAGGGATCGTGTGAGGAGTTATGACGAGAATACTTTTTAGCCTTTGGATGAGTTAACTTTTTAATCTATTTTTTGTTTTTTTTCAACTAGTTTTCAGTACTTTCAATTACAATAATCTACCTTCAACTACATTTATCTATCTTTATCTTCACTTTTAAGTCACTTTCATGAGCTTTTTACATACATTTAGTCACTTTCATGAGCTTTTTACATACATTTAATCACTTTCACATGCATGAATTTGTTAAAGTTTTGGTCATGATGATAAAAATAGATAAATAAAGGTAGTTGAATGTATATGAAGGTTTTGTTTTCACCATAACTCTTATTTTCACCGGAACCCAACCCCCCTTGCAAATCCCCTCGTATGATCATATTTGTGTTGGTAGTGAAATAGAATGATGATTTATGACAAGAGTATTTTCCATCTTGTGAAAATTTAAAAAATAACGAAATACTTCGTAAGTAGGTGATTGTTGATAATAATTAAAAGAACAAGTATAGTAGTTTTTTATTTACATCGTCACAATTTGTCTAAATTGTTCTTTCTTGCAAACTACACTTTTTTTTTTGCATGTATGCAAAAACACTAGTTAGTTCGCAACGAAAAGCATAGTTTGAATGGTTCAAGAAGTCGATCACTCTTGGATAAAATGTTAAAAACGATGCAGTTTCAATTCCATGGCCAACAGAAATATGATCATGCCAAGGATAATCACAAAAACTCCTAGAAAAGGCAATTCTAATGCACAAGGATTCTCAGCTTTGTGTGAGTGGGAGAGGGAGAGACAAGCCCTTTTCACAAGTCTTCCTTTTAGATTTTGCACCAAAGACCGTTTTCGTGGTTTAGGGGGCGCTAGATTCATTTCAAGAAACGTAAATGAGATAGGAATTCTGGGGAATGGAATGGCCAAATGGGAATGAGTTTCATTTCCCCCAATTTGTTGATGAATGCTTCATTACCCAGTATATGGCAATGGTTTCCATAGCATCATTAAATGATTCCAATTCCATTCCCCACCCCCTACTACACCCAATCAAGTACCCCGTTAATCTCATAACTAATCCAGTAATTTACGAGTAATTTTGTGGAAAAAAAGTTCTCAAGTAAAGGTAGGTGGTGGGAAGCATTCAGAAGAAGATTAGTTTCATGTGTATTACTATAACCACATGTGGTCACAGAAATAACCGCTCTACCCATTCAGGTGGAGATCAGTATACCTCTCACCCCCCCCCCCAAATACCCCACCTTTTGGATATACTGGGACTGTTTGGTTTACTATTTTCTATACAATGTGAGCGTAAACAATTTCAGCCTTTTATATTAAATGCTCTTTATGACAAAAGGTATCCCATAATTCCTATAAATAAGGCGCTTGTTAGAGATGCAATAGTAAATCACAAGACATTCGTCATGTCCCATGCATCGTTCATGTAAAAATTTGCTTATGAAAATGAACGCAGTGTTTCATAACTGTTAAATTCCCTTTTACTTACCTAATAACCAATTATGTGAAAACTACTAGAAGCAGGAATGATTACTTCATAAGAAACAGGATTGTGGTTACTTACATATTGACTGATCAAGACTATTGCTACGTCCTCTCTTGCGGTGAATTCTTTGAAAGCATCCTCAATTTGTTTGACCGTCGTCTCTGAAACAGAATGAAGGAACGTTTACAAAGCAGAAAAAGAATCAATCAATCATAAAAAAGAAGACAGCATGCAAACAAGAGAAGAACGGATTCTTGCCGTTACTTGACCAAATAACATGTTACCTTCATCCAAAAATCCATGTCTTTGTTGTAATTCACGAAGATGTTTTCTCAACAATCATATTTGAATGTAATTATAAGAAATATCATGTTGTGAACCGAATTTAAGAACAATGCAATTAACTAACCAGCCTTGTCATTTGGGTTCTAACATATAAATGTGCAATGAATTGTTGGTGCTCATTAAGAAGCCAGCAAGTCAAGTAAAATATTCCATCCATTCCATGAGAATTGAAATAGCATCCTTCTTGCGATATCCAATTGAAAATCGCAACATTTCAGTTTTGTGGAATTTTCAAATCACATTACCAACTTTCCATTGTTAACATTCCCAAAATAATTGATGATGCTAATTTGGGTCTATAAGATGCCGTGATTTCATAATTACCGAAGAATATTTAGACACCCGAGAAATGGCCAAGCACTTCCCTAAAACTATTTGCCCGGTAAGACATTGCAATTTTCATGATATGAAGTAATGTCTTTGGAGTTTCTAATGCATGGAAGTAGAAATAGTTAAAAGGATAATGAACAAAAACCAAAAATACATATGGCTTTCTCTAAAGTGGTCATAATAAGGAGACTTAATTCACGCTAGCGGTACCAACCAAAAAGTCCAAGAAAACATATAATAGGTATATACTTGAGGTTAGCCCAAAGTTCATATCAATATGACAACCATGCCATAACTAGCTTTCCTGTGTTATTTCTTCATAGTTTAGCAATACGAGAGTAGAAGTTATTAGCAATCACTAAATTTCGGTAGTCGCCTAATGGTACTTTAAGGCATGCATTTTGGTGTTGGGACCACCTAATGTGTATGTCTTAAAGCACCATTTCAGTGCTTGCTATGTAATTTTAAGTTGTGAGTGTATACATTTTTTCACTTGCTATAAGAAGCATGTCATGGAATCTTAAATCGTTGTCTAACTTTTTCACACGAGTGTGCATGATAACTACTGTCTACACTGCATAAAAGATGACATCAGAAAACATGATGGAAAATTCAATAGGATGTCCAAGGAACAAATAGTACTTGAATCCACAATCAGGTAATTTGTTTTCCTCCTCAAGTCAACATTGCCAACTCCAGCAAGTAAAAATCCAGTTATTGTGTCCTATATCAAATATAAAAATATCATAAGAATATTGAAAAGCGTCAAGCATTAACTGAATTAGAACATGAAATCACTGATAGTCAAAGCAAATTATAATATTAATTAACCTTTGGTTTCCTAAAACCCTATAAGAGCTACTCTCTACATTGTCTCGAGAAAATATGACCGGAAGGGATAAGCTTTTACAATCACTTCGTCCTGAGCCTTCAGAGTTCAAATCAATGGGCCACACTGTAAAGAATCTCATCCTTTCCAATGCACCACTGCCGTCCCACCAAGGCAACCCCCCCCCCCTCCAAAAAAAAAAGATCCTTCCCAGAAAGCAAAAAATTCAAATGTATTACCTCTATCCAATTCAGCAATACCAATTTACATATATGGTATGGGGCATTACAGTCATAACACAGCCTTAGTCCATTACACAGATTTTGTATTTTTTAGAAGGTCGGTAATTACCTTAAAAAGGAGTTCCAGCACATGTGACCTATTTTGAAAGGAGTGGTCTAATAATATATGTTTTCAAAGATTAAGGCTAGGCATAACAAATTAATGAACCTACAAAGCCCAAACTAAAGAGAGAACTCAAATCTCAAGATGTTGCTTGGCTTAAAACTAGAAGAATAAGTTGTAAATTTAGATGGAAAAGTATAGACCTTAATGTCATGTGGTATAACGGTTTCTGATTGAGATAGAAAAGGTTAACATTACGTCCAGCTTCATCATATAATAAACTCCACACCGAACTGTCACATTTAAAGCAAATGAAACTGGACAACTAAATGAAACTTCTAAACGTGCCTAAATAAACTCAACAATGGCACGCTACCATATCAAAACACCTTGCTATCCACCCATCTCCATATCCAGCTGACAGAAATGAGATATTAAATAAAGATATTAGTTTGCCTTTTCTTAAATTGGCACTAGATTTGATTTAGTTTTCTTCATCTCAATTGGAGAATTTTGTTCCCTCTCTGCATATTTTTCTCCAAGTCAAAGGGATGAAATAGATATGGTTTATCTAGAAAGTAGAGAAATAAATGAACAACTCATATAGTGAACATTTTCGGTATAATGTGAGCAGATAAGTAGTATCACATTCACAGAAACAATATTCAATACATACAAATATCAATTAGAAAATATTTGTTACCTCATCAGCAATCATAGCAATGAGTGCGGAGTTGTTATTAGGGATTGGAACTCGGTTTGCCATTTGAGATGCAAGATAAAACTACAGAAAGAAATATATGTTATCCCAGCAGTCAGTAATTTTGCAATTTACCATATATTCTCCATTTTTTGGGTGTACTATATTTATCTTTCCAACAACATTGAGCGAGATGGTTAATTGACATTATCCAAAACTTGAACTCGAATACAAATTGGACCAAAGATCATGTCTTTTGTAAACAATAGTTTAATATGCTACCTCACTATTATAATGTAGAAAATCAATGATGACTGCCAAGAAATTAGGGCGTAATCCAAGTATAACAAGTCTATGACAAACTAAGGCCTGATTTTTCAGGCAACATTCAGAAGCAGCAATAATTATACAAGCTAGAAAGAAAACAACTTCTTTTTTGGTTTATTTGGGGATTCTACAATAGAAAATCAGTGTGATCATCATCAACAAACTAAAGTGAATTCCGCGCAAAAGCCGAAACCATGCTTACAAATAAAAAAATCCAGGAAACTCGATCACCGCTCTAAAATTTAGGGTTCCTATCTTAAACTTGATCCTATTGCCTAAAACTAAATAGAACAGGAAATTAAGCATATATAAAGACAAAATCAAACAAATTTCCAGATTGAAACTTAATTCATATCACTGTTGGTATCTGCACACACATATATCGATACACTCCTTGAGTTATACATAACTACAGAAGTATTACTCGAAGTAGCAGCAGAGAACGATCGAGATCATACCTATTATCGATCGAGCAACAGAGATTTACGAGAGACGATGATTCCAACAGAAGAATCGTAGCGATGAGATCTGGTGAGAAGGATAGATAGAGTTTCAGCCTCAGGAGAGACGAATAAAAAATTGGACCATGATTGTAAATTAAACACGTGAAAACATATTTTCTGTTTTGGTCCTTCAACTTAATAAATATCAATTTATTGCACGATAAGTGTTTCTTCTACGGACAAAAGGACATTAACAGTAGAGATAGATATATAAACATTCGGGGTTGTTTGTTTACCTCTAAATATTTCCATTAAGAGGCAACCTCTGAATTGTTAGAAAGTGAATCTTGTTTGCCAATAAAAAAGTCTGCCTCTTAATTGTTCTAAAACCCTCTGAATGATTTTGTATTCTAGATCTTTTTTAACCATTAAGAGCCATAATTTCATTGTACATAATTACCAAACAATTATATTTCATTTATCAAACTCTTATTGGGTAAAAATTTACTGGCAAAATTTATCACTCTTACCTACCTCATTAGGTAGCATTCTTGGTCATAAAAATGGATTGTAGTAAAGCGTTTTTTACCCGGTAAACACTTATTAGGTAAGAGTTTCTCTCTCACTTATCAGATAAGATTCCCAACCCTTGTTATGTCTTATACCGGGTAAGAGTCTTTTGTCTCACTTATCAGATAAGATTCTTGACCCTTGTTATGCGTTATACCAGGTAAAATTCTCGGTCTTTCTCATGCTTAGTGATAAGGTAAGTGAAGTCTCGTAAGCGCATATCCGGTAAAAGTTTGGTAAACGACCCCTTAGAGGCTATTTGGTGCAAACTAGGGAATAATCCACTCCATTAGATTAGATTAAAATAAGATGTACACCAGGAATAATATTTTCATAGTGATTTGTTATTTGTGTTCGACATTTATAGAATCCTTTCGATACTGTATAGTTTAAGTTGTTTATATGACTTAAGATAAATGGATTTCTGATTGTTAAGTGAATAAACAGTTTAAATGTAAAAAATAACTATTTACCTCTTAGTCCATATAAACCATCGATTGAAATAACCGTTTAAATAATATATCGGATAATTTTTCAATGATAAAAAAACATCAATTTCAATGCTTTTTAAATAAAAACGACTCGATCTAACATAATAATATGAATTCAATGATATTAACATCATTTGATGTCATTTAACAGTATTTCGACTATTTCAAACCTTACTAAAGATGAAAATATGTATGGGTTTTGTACAAAGGCGTCGGTAAGGATGGCAAGAAAACCTTGTCCCCAACAACGAGGAACCCGATGCTCGAACCTGGTTTGACTAGGGAGGGGGAATCCCTGAATTTGTTAACCAGGGATAACTCTTAAACCTGACCTCGAACGGCTGAACCTGGAGTATCAATAGTAAGTTTTTTTGAAGTATATAATATTTATACACGATAAATAGAACAAATGAACTCACACACTTGTACATATGCAACCACTAAAATTTGGTTAATTAAAGTTTAGAATAATACGTTGTTTAAACGTAATGGACATCTATATAGATATTATATTTAAAAAAATCATAAAAGGGGAAAAATCCCGAACTCCCTAGTAGGGATCGGGATTCCCCGATAGGGATCGATAGTGGGGAGCGGGGATGGGGATTGCGCTCCCCGATATCCCCGACTCCATTCCCATCTCTAAATGTTGGGATCTAAATGGGGTTCCTCGGCCTCAAAAGAAACATACGGAGGCATGATGTCAGGGTCGCTAAATACCATACCAAATTGATGCAGTAAATCCCACACGAAAGTAGGATTAGGCGTGAGTACACAAATCCGATCACCTGACGTCTACTTCAAAAAGTAGAATAGCTGATTCCATTAAGACCCATGTGCAAAAATGAGCAAATATGTAAAAGGAGGGCTTGTTAAATAAAAGGTCAACAAGTCACAACTTTTATTTTTTTCACAATCTAATAAAAGAACAATACAGCAAATGGAAAAGAGGATAGTCTCTGCACATCATCTCAATCTCACATTATACAACAGTTCTGAGAATCAGACATTTCAGGGGATCTGCAAGGCAAGAAATCACAAGTCAGATGACATTAAATTGAACTTTATAAATAAAACACAAAACTATTAATTTCAGATGTTTATAAAATACAAAATCGACGTGAAATATTTGTAACAAAAAGTACACGTAAAAAAGTTTCAGATTGTAAACCGAATACATATGAAACAAACACATTGTAAAACAAATATATGTTAATCAACCATTAAATATTAGTCTTAGATGGAAAAATATCATCTGAAACAATATCTTAAAATAAAAGTTTTTACAGTCATCACAATATATGGGGTTCTCATTTGATTACGCCCCCATATTTACAAACCTACTGTAGCTTTCAAAATTCTTCAACAGAATTTGTACATGATTTGAAGTAAAAGAAAACAAATTATTTGACCTCCAAAGTCAAAATTTAACTAGAGACCACCAGATATGCAATAATGGAGTTGAAAGTTGAAAGGCAACACCTTTACATTAAGGGGTATTTTGGTAAACATTATTTCATTACAATTCTGAAGTTATGCATAGACAGATTCCATTCCATTTCCTTCCAACCAAACACAAAAACTTTATTCAATTTCCAATTCATTCGACACATTCCATTTATTCATCAAACGGTATGTGAACCAAATGCCCTCGATAGTCATGTTGTTGTATTTGTGATAAATTTAGTTCAATAGTTGAATTGTTCAGTAGATCTTCGGACTATATACAATTAAACCATATATGCATTTAATGTTGTAACATCCCCGGCCAACCGTATCATATATTGTCCGTTAATCCACACTTGGACCACGGTCTTAAAAACGCGTCTGATAGAGGAGGTATCCAGTATCTTACAAGGCAACCTTTGTTTCCTTCCCTAACCGATGTGGGATCTCACAAATGTAGTTGAAACACCTTTATCATTGTTTCGTAGTATTTATCAAATTTGAATATGAAGTCATTTTGACCTCAAAAGTCAACTGTAACTAGGGAATACACCAAATATGCATATAATGATACAGCAATCAAACAAATCGAAAAAGAAAACAAGTAACGAAGGAAACTACTTACAGTTGACCGAGAGCCGATATATCGAAATCGGGAGCAAGCTCTTGCACGATATCGTTTGGAGGTTGACCACATTCTTGCATTTGTTGCATGAGTTGAACTATCTTGTTGAAATTACCAGGCTCGTTGTCATAAACTATGTTCAAATCCTTTATAAGCTCATGCTGATGAAAGTAACGGTCGTAGTCTTCTTGGCTTAGTTTAGATTTATTGTCTTCTAACCATTTCGGGTATCTTTCTCCAATTTCTTTCATGGGTTCATGAAGAACTTCTTTGGATAAAAGTTGTTGCATCATTGTCTCTACTATGGACTCCATGTCCTACCAAAGTGAAAATGATATTTAGTGAATAAAGAATATAATTAGGGAAGAAAATAATATTTTGCCGCTCTACTCTTTAGGGTCGAGGTTAGGTCTGCGTACATCTTACCCACCAGACGCCGGATCCCACCTCCGAGTGGGATATATTGGGTTTGTTTGGTGTGGCTTTTGTAAAAAAAATACAATGGGGAAAGTTCTTTCTACACATGTCCTACCAAGGTGAAGAAAATAATATTTTGCCACTCTATTCTTTAGTGTAGGGGTCAGGTCAGTATACATCTTACCCACCAGACACCAGATCCCACATCCGAGTGGGATACATTGGGTTCGTTTGGTGTGGTTTTAGTAAGAATATAATGGGAAATGTCTTTCTACACATGTCCTACTAAAGTGAAGAAAATAATATTTAGTGAACAGAGAATATAGTTAGGGAAGAAAATAATAGTTTGTTGCTCTACTCTTTAGGGTAGAGGTTAGGTCATAGGTGTGCGTACATCTTACCCCCAAACGCCAGATCCCAAATCCCACCATAGGTGGGACATTGGTTGGTGTGGTTTTAGTAAGAATATAATGGATAAATTTCTTTCTACACATGTCCTACCAAAGTGAAGAAAATAATACTTAGTGAATAAAGAATATTCTTTAGTCTATATGATTCTCTTTATTGTCATATCAAGGGGCATTTCGGATAATTAGACAATAATACTGAACTATGTGCCTAGTCAAACATTTTAAAGACCCAAGAAACAACGCCCAAAAGGAGCGAAACTTTTGTCATTTACCCTATTAATGTGCTTTTTCAGTAATCCACTAGGCAATACACATGTGACAGGTTCAAACTCAAGGTCCCAAGCATCCGAAAGAAGCTTAGTTGTACCTAGTCAAACATCTCATTTTTTGTAACCATGGGTGTCCAGACACTTTGTGTGCACCTCGACTAATCCATAGGGCCCCAAGGATATATAGCCAGGAAAATCCACAATGGTCCTGCGGAGACTCAAATTGGCGACCTATGGGGAGGAGCCCTAATGCATAGCTTGCCGATTCAAACGTATTATTTGTATACCGGGAGTAACTACTATCAAGCCCATCATGTAACATTGAAACACGTATAAATCTAACTACAATATTTAATAAAGCCTAGAGGAGTTAAAGCATGAATACCAACAAGAAAACCAATCACTGAGCATGTTGAAATCTCCACAGGAATCCAAAAGAAAAAAGTCAAATTTTACCTTCAATGTTAGTAGATTACTTTGATACTGAACGAATTCTTTAGAAAAAAATTAGAACCAGCACATCAATCTCATGATTCCTGTTAGAAAGTTCAATTTAGATTGACATGTTTATAAAAGTTCAAAAGCCATACTCCCAACATACCCAAATAAGTGTCCATTTTTTCAAAAGTGTCCATTCCTCCCTCTAGTATTAAGGATAAATATGTATTTTTGTAACTAAAAAACTGTAATAACTACACATGTCTAAAACCGTTTGCCATTTTCATTGTGGGCGTTTATTTTGGGACCGAAGGAGTATCGACTTTTAAGTCGAATGTAACCCACTTGACCTTTAAATCAAAGTGCATCTCTAGTTTGAAACCCATTAGTAACATTGTTATCAACATCAACATCAACAGCAGAAGGCAAACATACCTAAATCAAACCAAAGCAGAGAAACCCTAAACCCTAACATAGTTCAATCACAAATGCATTACCCTAAATCGAAAAATGCCATAAAAAGTACCTGAGACTTGGCGAGTTCCTCAAATTGTTTGACCAAATCCTCCATCATTTTGTCATCTCCCAAACCCTCAATGCCACTTGGTTGTTTTAAACCTGCTATAGATTCCATCCCCTTAACAGTCTCCCTAGTCTGCTCTCTCAATTTATTAAGAGTCTCCGAAGCATGTGATTCCTTTGGTGCCGCCTTTTGCTTTCCCTTGTTCTTACTTTTTAAATTCGGAAGACCCAACCCTAACCCTTGAACCCCACTTGGCAATGAAGAAGCATCGGCTTTGTTCTCTCCACCATCTCTACTTTTATTACAGAAGGAGACACAAAACAGATACATACCCTTAATATATATATATGTGTGTGTGTGTGTGTGTGTATCAAGCCAAATAGAAAAGCTTCAACAACGTATATAGATTAGGACTTTCAGTAAAAAAGAGGAAGATGCAACATGACCTTTGGGAACAAATGGATAAGCTTTCAACTTCAAAATTGAGATAAATTCTTCATGTTTCATTTGTCGATACAATTTTCTCCATTCTCCATTACTCATGTTGTGGGTTCCGTAAACGATGGAGCTTAAGATTGTTATATAATGATCTGGAGGGGTCTCCCCCCTCCCTATCAAAAAAAAAGATTGTTATATAACAAGAAAACTCACAATCATATTAAACTTTATATCCATCCATCCCAACAAAATTGTAAAGTTTGGCAAGCTTATAGTGTTTGAGCATTAGTTAAATATAGAATGATTGACTTTCCAAACCATCATCATAGCCTTTTTGTCATTATTCTTACAGAACGCATAAGAAACACAACATTTTGCAAAAAAGGGTATGACTGTGATAAGTAGGAACGGAGTGTGTGCAAACAAGCAAACAAAACAAATTACTAAAGCAAGAGGAACGCTACATATGAATATATGATAAGTAGTAAAAGCAAGTAAAACCAAGGTTGGCATTCAGTAAAAACAAGAAATAGGAAGGGCGACAAACAGTAAGGGTCCCACAAGTAGATGCCTAAATAAGATGTGGAAGGTGGGAAATAAAACTAACACCATCTCTTTCTAACATAAGACTTTGGTACCATAAGGGTGTGTATGATACTCGGGAGAGGACGGATGGAACAAGAACTTGTTTTCCTATGCTTGGTGTGACATTAGACTGGGACAGGACGTCAGGACGGACCAACACCATAACAGGTGGAACAAGAATTAGGAAGATGAAACAAAATTTGTAAATTACTAAACTACCCATGCCAAATTAAAACCCTAGAACTGTCCACAATTCTTTCACCTGTCCTCACTCTCACCCATCCAGTCATATCTTATCCAATTCCGTCAGCATACCAAATGCAGACTAAGTGACACCAGCCACCGACCACCCTTCCCCGTGCTTACCCTCTGTTTACTCCATACTCCCCCCCCTCTTCTGGTCTGCAGTTTGTTCAAAAATCTCTAAATTCCAAACTATATGTTCGAATTTTCTGCTAGAACAGTCACTGTTTGCAACAAATATATAAAACACTAGTCAAAATACCAACTACTCATCAAATATCTAAAACACCCAAAGCAAATTACTAGATATATTAATCTTATGGACGATATCAACTTTGTCAAGTTTTCAAAACTCCTGCAAAACCAGCAAACCCATAATCTTATATTGAAATTTTGCCTAAATTGGAAAAGCAAAGTAACAACTACCCACAAACAAAGATTGTTCTGAATTTGTGATCTCATATCTGTACTGAATATTGAAATGTACTAAGGTTTAACCATGCAAATTCAACCTCAGAAGTGAATTTGTATTCAATTTAAAAATCAGGAAAATTACGAACCTCTGAGAAGAAGAAGAAGCAGCAGCAAAATTGAGGGTCTGGAAATCATCCAAAGCGCCTAATTGATATTCAACACACAATCAGTCAATACGTATGAACATAACAATAGTTTCAAACCTCGAATGCTTAATTGATATGGAAAAATCAAACAAAACCCCATGAAAAACACGAAGGGAGAAGGGAAAGGGTTCAGTCGTCTTACTATCTAGGAGTTGGTCTAAATCATCTGCATGTTCAGCCATGATTTTGGCTTGATTCCTTCTTTTGAAAGCTTCAGTGGTGTAGATTGAGAAGCTTTATGTAGATTTGGGGGAAAACTTTTATGGAGAATTATGACGTCGACCGACCATGGTAATAGACAGGAGTCGGAGTTGTGGTGGTGCTTAGCCATCACGGCTGTGGAAAAGATGAAAATCAATGGCTCAGATTCATTGTTGGCTGTTGACTTTTTGACCAATATTTATTCCGTTTTAAATCATTTTTATTTACTTCTTAATGGTTCTGTTAAAAGACAACCTTTAAATCGTTAAAAAATGAATCTTCTAAGACAAAAAAAAATTTGTTTCTTAATGATTCTAAACTCTCTAAAAAAATTTGTATCTTTGGTCTCCCTTAACCATTCAACATCCTAATTTTACTCTTAACAATTACCAAACAATTATATTTCATTTTGCATTATATCATAAGAGGCTCTTAATCATTCTGACTACTTAATCATTATATATTAAATCATTCAGCAACTGCTAAATAGTCCATTAATCACCATTTCCCTCATCCTACCCTTTAAAGAGAAAGAGCTCCTCGTAGCCGAACCTAATAATCTTAAAATCAACTTTAAATATATGAAAATTACTGATATATTACAAGGCTTAAGTTTTTTATAACAATGAGAGTTAAAAATGAGAAGCATAAAAAAAAATATTCATTCTTATATGCATATTATGATGAAATGTAACAAGATCAATCATCATGTCAAAAGTGATTCTGAATTTAAGATTAAAGATGCGGACCAGGTGGCCTTACACTTTTCACCTTAACTCTCTTTATTACATGATCATTCGTCTACATCATAATGGGGATTAAGTTCACTAATCTTACATTCCTTCAATGTACGATAAGTTTGTTGCAAACTTCGGCACTTTATGTTTTTATTAGGGGTGTTCATGGTGTGGTTTGGTGCGTTTTGAGGTCAACCCGCAAACCGTATATGTGGTCTGAGCATTGTTCCAAACCGCAAACCGCATCATGTATACCGTAAACCGTAAAAAAAAAAACACGGGGAAATGGTGCATGGTGCAGTACAGTTTATGCGGTTTGTACATATCATATTTTACGTTTTCAATCCAATAATTATAAAACTATAATTTTATTATAAAATCAACGTCAACGTGACCGTAGTAGTTTTAGTTAAGAGGGTGTTGATTGTGCCATTGAAATCTCATTTAAAAACGTGGATGTCTACTTAAAGTTAAAAGTGTCAAATGGATTATTGGCTATAGTTTAGTAATATTATGGATCAAAATCCAAAACTTTAGACTTATTAATGGATCATCGAGAACGTAGATAAAAAAACATTACACAAATTAGCAATTATTCTCTATGTATATGTTATATATATCAAATTAAGAACGTATAAAATATGCGATATGGTGCGTTTTGATAACTCAAAACCGCATAGTGCAGTTTGATAAAATGCAAAACGAAAATTGCACAACGGAAGTTGTAAAACGCGTTTTGCAGTGGGCAATTTGTGCAGTTTGGCGATTCTGATTGACACCTCTATTTTTAATGTTTCTTGTCGAACCGTGCAACCATCTTTCTCATTTATCAATGATTTTGGGATGACAGCTTGTACAAAACAACACCCTACTAAAATCCATACTGACGGAAATCTGATACGGAGGATCAAATTAGAAAGCGATGCATAAACTATCTATGATACGTGTTTGGCTTATGTATCGTCATTTCTAAACAAAATCATATCAAGTACGAGCAAGGCAAGATTCATGTGGCAAAGAGGAGTATAACTTTAATGCTTATGTATAGTAAAGGTTGTTTACTAAAAACTTACCTTGGTAAGCGCTTACTGATTCATTTACCTAGGATCGAGAGTTTTATCCGGTAAGTGAGACTAACGACTCTTAACGGTAATCGCTTACCAATAATCCATTTTAATGACGGAGGTCCAAGAATGCTACATGATAAGATAAGTGTTTACCAAGCCCTAAGCTATGATTTTAGTTCTTGTGGTATGTTAAAAATTACAACTTCCATTTTTTTGTTTTGAAATTCTAATTTTAGTCCCTGTGATATGTAATTTGTTGTTGTTTAGTCCTTCAAATTAACTTTATTAATGATTTACCGTTGAGACTTAAGCGTGATATGCAGAAAAACAATAAATTATAAACTAATGACACAAAAATGTAAGCTATAAGGACAAAAAAACGATAAATCGTAAATTATAAGGATTAAAATTGAAATTTCGATAGCACGGGGACGATAATTGCAAATTTTCAACAAAAGGAACTAAAAACGTAACTCACCCGTACAAAAATCAAAGGAGATAGAGAGCTCACTGAGAGCCGCGCAAGAAATGGCGACGGCGGCGTTGTCACCGGCCACCGTTTCTCTCCGCCTGAAACCGTTTTCCTCCACCATTCGCTTCCTGTCCTTGTACCGCAATCACCAACCAAACCTTACCAAACTAAAATACCAAATCATCACCACTCTTCCTCATCACCCGCCAAAACACCAACTCTACTTCAATCACTTGAACGATTCCATAACTCACCGTCGATGCTTTTCCACCATCGTATCTGCCTCAGTATCCTCCGGCGAGGTCGTAGAGAAGTCCAAAACCGAATCTACTGACGAACGAGTTGGGGAATTTCGTAAACGGCTGAGAATTGTTGATATAAAAGGAGGGGAAAGCGAGGGTTGCGATAGATTAGGTGAAACGTTGACGGTTAGGGGTTGGGTTAGAACTCTTCGTGTTCAGAGCAGTGTTACATTCATTGAGGTAATGGTGATGAATATTTGTTCGAATTGGCTTTTAAATCGATGATTTATTCATTTTTATATTAAATGCATATTGGGATCTTCGGTTATTGTTATCTAATTGTTTACATGTTGAAAATTCATTGCAACAAATTATCTAGTCGACAGCAACATAATAATGTGGATGCCAATGGTATTTCCAAGGCTCCCACCAAAGATTAGACTGTCCTAATAACCTCTTAATCAACTTAATCCCAATTAGCTAGAGATAATATATCTCAAAATTAAGTGTCTATAAATCAATATATATGTATAATAAACTATTTTTTTTTGTTTTCAAACTATAATAGAGTCATTTTCGATAACATTTCGAAAGGAAAAACAATCATGTCATTAGAAGATTGGTTCTTTGCAAAATATGGTTCTAGCAAACATACAACCAAATTTTTACTAGTCGAGAATACTCATTAGACTTAATGAAGCCCTGGTTGTATGTTTGTTGGAATGATATTTTGCAAAGAGCTTGGTTGCATTTTTGTTGGTATGTTTTTCCGTGCGAACATTCTTTTAGTGATATGATATGTTTTTCCTTGCGAACTGTTATTCTTGCATTAGAGCTTGGTTGCATGTTTGTTGGTATATCCATAAAAGAAAGGTTTTGTTTTTGCAAAACATCATTCTCACAACCATGCAACAAAGACTTCACAAGTCTAATGATATATAAGAATTTAACTTGTCCATCACTGATACAATGGCAATAGGGATCAATGACAGATGAGTTAAATGCTTGTATACTCATTAGATTTATGAAGTCTTGGTTGTATGTTTGGTGGAATAATGTTTTGCAAGAAACCAATCTTTTATCGACATGACACAATTTTCGTTGTGAAATATCATTTCAACAAACAACAATGAAGCTCTGTAAGTTTAACGAGTCTATATAATTGTCAATGCATTAGTACTTTGACCGTGAAATATCATTCCAACAAACATACAACCAAGCTCTATAATCTATATGTCTAATGAGCTTATCATAGTTGCCGATGTATTAGTGGCATTGAAATTAAATGTCACTATACATTGGCAATTATATCAAATCATCATACTTTAGATCTAGGTTGTATGTTTGTTGGAATGATTTTTCACAAGAAAAAGTGTGTCATGTCGATAAAATAGTAATTTCATGCGAAATATTATTCTAGCAAAAATACAACAAAACTCCATAGGTCTATTAAGCATACAAGTATTTAACTTAACTACCCCTTATACCTTGGCAGTTGTGATAAACTACATTATAATTGCAACACATTAGGCACATATGAGTTAAATACTTATCTACCCATTTTTTTTTATTAACTTGGATATCCAACCCACTATGCGAGCCGACTAATCCCAGGGCAACCACCTGCTTTGCGGTTATCCCGGAGTCACCGCATTTGAACCTCCGTGGCCACAAGGGGATTTTTATTCCTCCTTGGATTTGAACCTGGGACCTCCAGACACTTTTGACCTTTGGAGTCCAAGCTCAAACCAACCAGACACCACCCTTATGTAGTCTTGATTATATGTTTGTTGCAATGATATTTCACTCATTCTTCTATGGACATGACATATGGAGACAAAAACTTTAGTGTACAATTGTGATAATCTACATTATAATTGCAAGACATTAGGAAAAAATGACTTAAATGCTCATCTACTCATTAAACTTATGGAGTATGGGTTATATGTTTGTTGGAATGATATTTCACTCATTCTTCTACGAACATGACATAATTATAATCTGGAGACAAAAACTTCAATTTATGATGAATTAATCTACCGAGGGCAATGTGGAGATATGTAGGTGCTCTTTTCAGTTTTTTTTGGTATTCGATGTGACCTCCCTCGGGAAGGGGGTGTCATAGTGTTCTCATTACATGGTCAACCATTTGTACAAATGACTTCTGCATTGAGTTTGTGTGGTTTCAAGCAATACATGATATTAGATGTTCATGTTATCATTTTTGATACCTTTACTATGAAGAAAAAGTCTAGATCTTTCCCAGAATTGAGGGAGTATTCATATTTGGCGGTAGTATATTATATTGTGTATCTTCCCTATTGGAACTTCGAACTTGAGTTGGTGTGACATTTGGTGAAACGTGCATTTTGATCAAGTCAAGGGAACTTTGACCAAGAATGGGTTATATCTATGTATTTTTTGTGGATAGTTAACGGGTGATGCATTCAGTGCAGGTGAATGATGGTTCATGCCTGTCAAATATGCAATGCGTGATCGATTCAGATGCTGAAGGTTATGATCAGGTAGCAACGAGATAGTTTATTATTTTGACATGCCTCTCTTGATTGAAGTGTGCAAATTGTTTGCTAATCAATGAGAATATATTGTAGTTTACCCAATTTTTGAACTTCCTTGAAACGGTATTTCGACAAGTAAACTTCGCCCATTTGGAGAATAGGGTTGTTATTGTTATAGGAGAAGAAGGGATAATGTGATTAGCTTATCATGGGAATATATATATATATATATATATATGTATATATATATATATATAGTGAGAGGTTCAAATACGAAGACTAAATGTCATGAGAAGATGAGAAGGGAAGATTCATATTTGAACTATTGAAAAAATTCTGAAAATATCTATTTGATTGCATATTTGAACCGACGTTACAAATTAATCACATAGGTTCCCATAAGCATCTTCAAATGGATTTTTTCAATGATTCACATATGAACCTTCCCTTCTTACCTTCTCACGGTATTTAGATTCTTATTTAAACCACCCCTTATATATTATGTAGTCATGAATTAAAACATTATTTTTCTCCGTCGTGCTTTCTTGAAATACACTTGAAAGCTTTCATGGATAATATTTAGTTTTTGAACAATTGAAATGCTCATTCGTTGAGACGTGTTTGCAGAATTGGATACTTCATCTGCTTCAAATATGGTTGTCTTTTGTCCAACTCTTTCCTTCCTATTGATTTTTTGAGTCATTGTACTTGGATTTACTTTTCAAACCAACCATCATGCTTGTGGAAAATTAAGAAAAATCCGTTTACTAAACGCTTATCCGGTAAGTACTTATCGGGTAATTTTCCTCACCGGATGAACATGGCAAGGGCCAAGAATCTTACACGGTAAGAATGAGGATAAGGATGGAAAGTCTTACCCGGTAAGTGAGGGTGACAACTCTTACCCGGGTAAGCGCTTACCAGGAAAATTGTTGCATGGAATACGTTTTGATGTACTACATACAACCTTACCCAGTAAAATAAATTATAGTATCGACTCCTAATGGTAAGCACTTACCAGGTAAGCATTTAGGCAAACAGCCCCTAAGTATTATATTTGCAAAAAGTAGCAATATGGGCCAAATTGGAAATGTAAGTGCAACAAAACCTCCTACTTGGTGCTAATTTCCCCGACATTGCTCATCGCAATTTCTTTTTCTTTCTACAATTTAATAAGCACAATGGTTTGTTTGCAGCCAAAAGCCGAACATATTGGTCAGAGAAGTTAGTCACTCTTTTCCCCATATATATATATATATATATATACATATATGCTTGTAAAAATGTTAGTAACCTTGAACTTGAAGTCACTAGGTGTCTTATCAAGTTTTTTGAAAGCAGCAGCAAGGCATATTAATGCCAAAAGATCCTTTGTTTATTAAGTCATACTTTCTTGTACAATTCTTCCTTGAATAATATTTGCTCTTTTTGCTGATACCACGCTATAGCATAAACGTCTTTCTTTTTAATTTTGGGTTATTGATAGGTGGAGAGTGGTTTGATAGCAACAGGTGCATCAATCTGCGTACATGGAGTTGTGGTACCGAGCCAAGGAAAGAAACAAAAAATAGAGCTGAAGATTCACAAACTTGTTACGGTATAAATCTGATAAATCTAAAATTTAAGTGTTGACATATTGGTACAACTTTCTTTCTTATTCTCTTTGAAAAGATGGGATTTGGGTCGGGAAAAATATGTTACTAATTTTTACTATTCATATAAAAGGGTGCATTAGATTTTATCATAAGCATGCCTATGCCTCACATATTATAGACCAACATGGACCCATAGTTCATATTTTGTTCTTTTCATCTGAATATACTCCGTACCATTTTGCAAATTTGATATATATTAGTAGTACCAATTGTAAGATGTTTATATTCTCATCTTTTTGATATACTTGTAGGTTGGTAAGAGTGACACATCATTTCCTATTCAGAAGAAAAAGGTCACACGAGAATTTTTAAGAAGCAAGGCACATCTTCGTCCTAGAACAAACACTTTTGGTGCGGTATGATTTAGATTATTCACAAATGATTCTACCTCTCTCTCTATATAGTCTTTGCCACCTTTGTTAGTGGTCAAATTGTTTGTAAATCATGCAATGAAATTCTCTACCATGGAATTCTCTTACCATTTTTTAGCATATCCTATGATAGCGGTGAACCCAGGATTTTGCTGAGCTGGTGCACCTTTAAGGTTGATCAAAGGACTGCGGAGTCTCCCTATGTGTTTTTAGTCTAATTCCACCGTTTCGATGGTCTTTTTTAAGTCTTTTGGTTGATTTCGAGGGATTTTTAAGTTTTTTTGGTTGATTTCGAGGGATTTTTAAGTTTTTTGGTTGGTCTTGAGGGATTTTAAGTTTTTTGGTTGGTTTCGAGGGGTTTTTAAGATTTTTGGTTGATTTTGAGGGATTTCTAAATTTATTTTGGTTGATTCTCGAGGGATTTTTAATTTTTTTGGTTGATTTTGAGGGACTTTTTCAGGTTTTTTTGGTTGATTTTAAGAGACTTTTTTGGTTTTTGATTGATTTTGAGGGACCTTTTTTGGTTTTTGGTTGATATTTATTGTATTTTCTAATATCCCAGAGCACCCCTCAAAGTGTAGCAGGTGCACCTTTCATACCCCAAAAAAATTTCTACTTGCGAAATTAAGTTGAGCGGGTGCATGGGACCTGCTCGGGGCCTCAGAGTTCCGCCTCTGTTCTATAATGTAGTGACAAATGGTTCTGTGGAATATGTGAGAACTTCTATATTCTTGGTTGGGTCCTTTCCATTTTTCCAATTAACTCGTTTGATATTTAATTCGACTCTAGGTTGCACGGGTTAGGAATGCTTTGGCGTATGCTACACATAAATTCTTTCAAGAAAATGGGTTTGTTTGGATTTCGAGTCCTATTATTACCGCATCGGATTGTGAAGGTGCTGGCGAGCAATTTTGTGTAACCACATTGGTATGCTCTCTTTGATGCAAGTTTTCTTCGATTTATTTGTAATACACTCATACCATTGTTCTATATCGTGCTTTTGGGCTTGAGCATGACGATTCTACAAGTTAGTACACACTCTCAGTATTTTTCAATTTTGTAACCATTGTTTATCCAAGATTCCGAGATAATATTTCTTTTGTTATATCTTTGATCTAAATTGTCGTGTTAATAGATACCAAGCTCCAAAGAAGCCATTGATTCTCCGGCCGATGCTATCCCAAGAACAAAAAACGGCTTAATTGATTGGTCACAAGTGAGGCTTTTACTTTCTTTTCTCAATTTAAACATTTTTTAGACATATGATGCTTACATAAAGTTTACGTGCATTCACTTATTGCCATACTGGCACACATACATACACTTGGTTGTCACGTTTAGGGGTGTAAACGAGCCGAGCCGAGCCGAGTAGTAGGTTATTCGAGCTTGGCTCGAAAAAGTTATACCAGGCTCGAGCTCGAATAACTTTTCAATGTTGGGCTCGAGCTCGAGTTCGAATATTTTTTGAGTTATCGAGCTCGATGCTTGTTTACAGGCTTGTACTCACGATCGGTTAACTCGTTTATTGTATGCACATGTGCATACCTTACAAATGAATGGTTACTAGGGTGTTCCTCAATTTTTCATTTTTTTGCGGTTTTCCCCTGAACCTAACCCTATATATGTTGCCTTCTATTATACAACACTTGCATTGTTCAAACATGAAGTTATGTTTCAAGAATTGCATTTTGATTTCACAGGATTTTTTTGAAAAACCAGCATTCTTGACGGTCTCTGGCCAACTCAACGCCGAAACATACGCTACTGCTCTTTCTGATGTATGTCTTTTTTCTTTCATATCTTATTCAAACTTATAGAACCGGTCAGCACATGACATTACCTTATCAGTTATTCAAGAAATATTTACCATTTTTCAGGTGTATACATTTGGTCCTACATTTCGAGCGGAAAATTCCAACACTTCCAGACATTTGGCTGAATTCTGGGTATTTTTTTCTTTTTTTCACTATTGTAGTGCATTACAGAACTAAAAAACGAGCTTTTATAGTTAGTTAATTTTAATTTTTTATCTCTTTGAAGATGATTGAGCCCGAGCTTGCATTTGCGGACCTGAATGATGACATGGCCTGTGCCACTGCCTATCTCCAGTATGTCGTATGTTACTTTATCGACCCTTTGTAGTTGGTAGATTATCTTATCCCTCCTTTCCAAAAAAGGTTCCACTTTTATAGTTCTCTGTTCTAGACAAAGAGTCGTATCGGCAGATTTTCAATAAGAAGATTTTAAACTAATTTGAACTTTTCCATATTTTAGGTGAAACATGTTCTTGAAAATTGCAAGGAAGATATGGATTTCTTCAATAATTGGATTGAGAAAGGAATCATCGACCGTCTGAGTGTATGATTTGTCTGTGTAACTCGTAGTTATCCCTCTACAATATATATATATATATATATATATATATAGAGAGAGAGAGAGAGAGAGAGAGAGAGAGAGGAAAGTTTCGTTAGAAACCCAAAATTGGTTAGGAACTGGGACCTTCCCACAACATGCCACGTGCCATTCTGTGGGCAGTTCACAGGCTCGTAATTAGTTTTTGGTTCTTAACGGGACCTGCCCTTGTATATATACCCTATAAATAATTATATATAACTCATGAGTTAGCTCCAACAGGATGTCGTTGAGAAAAGCTTTGTACGACTGACTTACACAGATGCAGTTGAACTACTTCTAAAATCAAAGAAGAAATTTGAGTTTCCGGTAATTCTATCTCTTTGTACATCTTCTAGTTGGAAAAATTTCTAGAATTGATACACACAATAGTAATTACAGGTAATAAAAAATATATTACGAAAAGGGTATTTATATAGTTCAACAATTTGTCTATAGCTGTGGGCGTTGTTAGGGATCTTTTATATTTCGTGAATTCTGTAGTAGTACAGATACGTTGAAAGAACACATCTCTCCTTGTAAGAAGAGAATCAAAAAACATAAGGGTAAGACAGGTGGGACAAAAAAACAATTTGACAGGGGTAGTTTAGTAATTTACCAATCGTGTTCCATCTATTTTGGTGGGACAAGAAACAATTTGGCAAGGGTAGTTTAGTAATTTTCCAATCTTGTTCCATCTCCCTGATTTTTGTTCCATCCATTTTGGTGGGGAAATACAATTTGACAGGGGTACTTTTAGTAATTTACCAATCTTGTTCCAATCTTTATTTTTGTTCCATCAATTTTCGTGGGACAAAAAAAGGTCCCGTCTAGTCCTGTCCCAGTCAAATGTCCTGTCAAATATGGGACAAAGAGTTCTTGTTCTGTCCTATTTTGTACTTCTGCGTACCTAACACACCATAAAGTCCATATCTAGCTTCATATCCAACAAAAGTTGGTATGAAAATGCTCTATGCTACCCTCTACGTCCCAATTACTCGACTTTTGAGTGTCAAACCAGTTGGCTTTTTAAGTTAGGGCTGTTTGGTTGGTTTTCCATCAAGTCTTGTGTGGATTAAGCTGTCTGTGTGAATTAATCTATTGGGAAGGTTTTCTCATCGATGGAATGAGCATGTTTTTTAATTGGGAAAGGCAGGTTTGGGAAAAACTTGGCTTTCTGCATAAAGCCCCCCAACCAAAGAAGCTTACTGAATAAGCCACTTTCTATATCATTAAGCCACCACCAAACTGTCATGTATAGCTGACCGGATAAGCTTGGTGTCCCATTAAGCTCATTAAGGCTAACAAGCAGACCCTTAGAATCAATCACAGATGTCTGCATTTAAGCAAGAAAGTTCTTGAAGTTATATACACATTTGGAGTTGCAAAACGGAAATAGTTCCGGTCAATTTTGCAGATATTTTGAATTTATCTCGCTTTTGTCAATGGACATACAGGCAACGAAGCTATTAATTTTCGTTTCTTTCTAATTATAGTGCAAATGAAGGTTTACATGGAAGATATTTTTTACAGTATGTTGGTTATATAATAGGTGAAATGGGGATGTGATTTGCAAAGTGAGCATGAACGTTACATAACGGAGGAAGCTTTCTGTGGATGCCCAGTTATTATAACCGACTACCCGAAGGCATGATCTTATTCTCTACTTTTTTGCATAAATTGAAGCAATTAACTAAAAATAATGGGTATTTTTCTTGAAATATCCAGGATATCAAAGCGTTCTATATGCGGCAAAATGATGATGGCAAGACTGTTGCAGCTATGGACTTGCTGGTTCCACGGGTAATATTTGCGTTCATTATTCATGTGAGATCCTGCATCAGTTGGGGAGGGGAACAAGGTTGCCTCATAAGGGACTAGATACCTCCTTTATCACGTTTTCTAAAACCGTGAGTCCAGAGTGGATAAAGTAGACAATATCTGGTACGGTTTGCTGGAATGTTACAAATGGTATCAGAGCCGGCAACCGGACTGATGTGCTAGAGAGGATGCCGGGATCCCTAAGAGGAGTGGGTTGTGAGATCCCCAATCTGGGAACAGAAATATTCCAAAATGTTAAAAATCTCTATTTTAGCGTAACCATTGGAAACGCTCTTAGTAATCATTGATTTTAGCTCACAATATTTCCCCATTGGTCGTTATCGAGGGGTATTTTAGACACTTGATTCAGTTATCGTAGCTATGAATAATCTCGTTTGCTAGGTTGGTGAGCTTATTGGTGGAAGTCAAAGGGAAGAACGTCTTGATTACTTGGAAAACCGTCTAGATGAACTCAACCTCAATAAGGAGAGCTTTTGGTGGTACTTGGATCTTCGGCGTTATGGTACAGGTTAGCATCTCTTTTCGTCTGTTAGGATTGTTTACTACCTACTGACTGCCTCTTAATATGTAAGAGGTGCTTACCCAGTATGAAGGAATGTTTGCTTACCAACACACTTTGACCCACGAATATGCTGACCCAGTAAGAAAAGGGTTGCTTTTTACTCAAGTGCTTACCCAGCCACTTGGTTAACAACCAGTATCAGTTGGGGCTTACCCGAACTGAACCTCTTACCCAGACTGCATTCTTAGGGCTTGATTGTTAGCAGCTTAATGAGCTTAATGGGACTTGCACCTTATTCGGTCAGCTATACATAGGGGTGTGAACGAGCCGAGTCGAGTAACAGGTTATTCGAGCTCGGCTCGAAAAACTAATATCAGGCTCGAGCTCGAATTTTTTTCAATGTTTGAGCTCGATGCTCGTTTATGAGATCGAATTTGAGATTGATTAAGTCGTTTATTCACTGAAGCTTGATAATTTTATATTTTTGATTATATAACTTGCAAGCATATAAATATGTTTGACTTGAAAAAGTGTATGCTCAAATGACTCGACTTGACTCGTAAAGTTTAATCGAGCTTTCAAACGAGTCGAGTCGAACATTGGTGTTATAAGTTGAGCGAAATTTATTTTGTGTTCGAAATCGACTCTAGCTCGAAATTATGAAGCTTGAGCTTGAGATAAACAAGCTCGAGCTCGAGTAGCTCGTTAAAAGCTCGACTTGTTTACACCCCTAGCTATACATGACTATTTGGTAGTGTTTTAATGATATAGAAAGTGGCTTATTCAGTAAGCTTCTAGGAGGAAGCTTTATGCAAAAAGCCAAGTTTTTTCAAACCAACCTCTCCCAATTAAAGAACATGCTGCGTGTGTCTATCTCAAACAAAAACCTTTTCAATCTATATAGACAGTTGCATCCATACAAGACTTGATGGAAAACGAACCAAACAGCCCCTTACTTGGTTAACGCTTACCCATTTTGTGTTGGTAAACGGCGTCTTAGTTTCTTGAAAACGGTCTATTATTTGCTCAAACATTGAAAACATCATCTTACTCGGTTTAACTTTTACTTATCATTCTTTTCGTGTATTCCAGTTCCACATGCGGGTTTCGGGTTGGGTTTCGAGAGGCTTGTGCAATTTGCAACTGGATTAGACAACATTCGAGATACAATACCTTTCCCTCGAGCACCTGGGTCTGCCGAATTTTGACCTGGAGATCGACCGATGCCGACTTTGGTGTTACTTTCTTCTATTCATTATTGCAACCAACAAATTCCCCATCTGAATGTTTTGATGTAGAAAAGGGGGAGATTTTTTGTCTGTAAAATTTATATATATTATTTAAATTTGTTTTAATCATGTTAAATCAATGTATTCAATAAAAATAGGTTTGTCAATAACATGCTTGTATGCTCTTTAGTGATCATTTGGTTGGAAAAATCTGGTTTTAAGGGATTTGGAATTTGTGGGAGGATTTGGTATTTTTGGCATGTTTGGTTTGTAGGATTTGGAATGAAATTGAACTCCATTTTCTATATAAGATAATTTTTTAAAAACAAATTATAAATAATTAGAAAACGAATGCATTTAATATTATTAGAAACAATTCTATAAAAACCTCGAAAATATCGACTATTTTTATAGGATTTCTAAATGATTTTAATTCTTGATATTTTTGGATTGAATGGAATTTGGTTATAGATTTCACCAAGTCTCACATATCAAACAAGCTTATATTACTACCATAAGAGTGGGTATTGTTATGTTCTATTCACATCTCAAGCTTTATAAACTTGTTTATGGACTAAACTTATTATGTATGTATATGTATGTATATGTATGTATATGTATGTATGTGTTGTATGGATATGTATGTATGTATATAAACATCTTTGGCTCAAAAGTATGTATGATCAGCTTTGACAAAAATATTTGATTTGAGTTTTCGAATAAATTGAGTCAAACATTGGTGTTACAGAGTTTTACTTGTTAAGTTAAACAAGCTTTATTCTATATATGATAATGGAGTTCAAGTAGCTCATTGATGCTCTGAGTAGTTCAATAAATTTATTTTATTATTATTAAGAGTAAAAGTGTAATTTAGTTGATTAAAAAGCGTAATAATTATATATTTTATTTTTTATATATTGCATGAGTCTACTACATTGTTATTTAACTTACTAGGTAAGATTCTAATCAATCAACACGCCATCATATACAATAATTTATCTGAAATAGGCCTCACTCATTGGTATCTAAGCAATTCTTCTTCATGTTGTTGCTTTTACAGGTAAGCACTAACCTCGTAAGTCATCACTCTCACTTACAGGTAAAACTCTCGACCCTTGTCATTGCTCTTACCAAATAAGATTCTTAGTCCTTACTATGTTCATCCAGTACCGAATAAACCCCCAAGTGAACCTAAGCACACTTTGGGGTTCAAAATCCATCATTTGCAAGCATCAAGCACAGAACAAAATCTATCACATTATTTGAAAATTTAGTACACACATATATATCTCTATCTATATATATGTATGCATATATCAATCTCCCAAAACTAAACTTATTATGAACATCTTGAGGGAGATGTATATATATTTTGTTAATCGGCGAACAAGTAAACTGTACAGTGGCATCCTTCCGTTCGCCCTTTCAGCGACACATTTGAAGCAAAACCTATCTTCTAGAAGTCCACGTTAGCGTTTTTAGCATACCCGTGAGTGAAACCGAAAACCACCCTTTCATCTCCGAAAACAAACATTCCGCTTCTAAAGTTCAACTTCGTGAAGATAGTCGTCGCTAAAACTATCACCATTTGTTGCGGGCGGCATTACTGCACGTTCGCTTGGCATGAACGACAATTGAGACATACCTAAAAACTCGCCACTTGGTTTCACCTCGCTAGAAACCGAGAACCGTTCATCGGTACTTCCGCCCCATGAAACCGTTCTTCGTGAGCGAGGTGAGCTGGAGTTGCTCGGGAATGAGGGTGTTCCGCCTTTTGAAATATCGTCCATGCTTGCAAATCTTTGCATGGTAGATGTATATGGGGGCGATTGGAAATGGCTATGTATGGAAGGAGGTGACGGGTTTTCATCGGCAGTTGTAGTCTGGTGATGCATGTTATCTGGGAAAGTTTCGGCTGGCTGTTCGGCTGATGGTACAGCCATGGGAACAAAAAATTTCGGGTTAGATTTTGCGGTCGATTTGATAGAAGAGGCGGAAGGTGACTGGAATAATTTGCTAGGGTTCCCACCACCTTGGTTGAAAGTGTCAACGTACCTGCAACAAGCGAATGAAAACATCAAATCCTATCGTTTCAACAATAAAAGTACTTCTAAGCTTATTGGGACTTGGTTTATGTGGTTGGCTATACATGACTGCTTGGTATGGCTTAATGTTATAGAAATTGGTTTATTTAGTAAGCTTCTGGGAGGAGCTTTATGTAGAAAGCCAAGTCTTTTTTTTCCAAACCTGCCACTCCCAATTAAAAAACACGTTTCTTTCATCTATGAAAACACTCTCCAAACAAAAACCTTTTGGGTCTATTTGTTGACTGCTTAATGAGCTTAATGAGACTCGCAACTTATTCGGTCAGCCATACATGATTGTTTGGTAGTGGCTTAATGATATAGAAAATAGCTTATTCAGTAAGCGAGAAGCTTTATGCAGAAAGCCAAGGTTTCTGCAAATCTGCCCCACCCAACTAAAAAAACATTCTCCTTCCATCTATGAAAACCCCCTACCAAAAAACTCTTTACAATCTACACAGAAAGATTAATCGACACAAATAACTTTATCTATACAGGACTTCAATGAAAAACCAACCAAACAACCCCTGTCTGTTTGTTAGCAGCTTAATGAGCTTCATAGAACTCACAACTTATTCAGTCAGCTATACATGATTATTTGTTAGTGACTTAATGATATAGAAAGTGGCTTTTTCAGTAAGCTTCTAGGGGGGGGGGGCTTTATGCAAAAAGCCAATTTTTTTCCAAACCTGCCCCTCCCAATTAAAAACACGCTCCTTCCATTTATGAAAAAACCTTCTAAAACAAAAATCTTCCCAATCTATACAGATAGATTAATCCACACAAACAGCTTTATCCATACAAGACTTATTGGAAAACCAACCAAACAGCCCCAAACGGAAAGCTAACCAAACAACCCCTTGGTATGTTTCATACCGGTAGCTGAACCAAACCAAACAACATGCAATGATAGAGGTCGGGTCTGTGTACATCCCAACCCCCCCAAAGACCCACCCTTAGGTGGAAAATACTGGGATCATTTGGTTTGGTTTAGTTTGGCATGTACAACTAGTAGTCTAACCAACAGCACGCGATAAGAAATCATAATCTAGCATCAAAAAAGGAAAACATATTTGGTCACCTAGATCGAACACCCATCCTTCCACGAGCTGAGAATTGGCTTGAGGTGGCTGGAATTGGCGGAATTCCAGAACTATGTCCCACAGAAGATCCACTTGAAAACTCCAAGCTTCCGTTGCTAAGAGCCCCTTCGCTCTTTGCCGCACTTTTTGAGCCATGGTCCGATGTTCCATTCTGGAAGGTTGCCATTGTTGGGGGAGGAGGAAGTGCCGCTTCCTCTGCTGGTGGATCAACCCCTTCCTCTACCCATCTTTTAAGTTTCTCATCATAGTAGAACTTGTTTGTTTCGCCCAATTTCGCCTGCAAACAAAAGACTAAATCTTAGAAAATTAAACGGAGACAACTCAACAAGTCCACACCAAACGAACGTAGTATATCCGCGCAACAAAATTGATTTTATGGGAAGCCTAAAATGTCGAAGCGTCCTAAAAAAATACTTTATAGGACTTAAATTTATAGGACCAAACCAAAAAACAACCTATCTAAAAGTGTTGCAATAAGTTTATAGAACCCTTTTAGATATTTTAACAAGTTTTTTAGAACGCTTTTAAAATAAAGTGTCGTATCAACTATTTTATACAATACTACTTGAAAAAGTGTCTTATAAACACAAGTGTCCTATACAAAGACGGGTTTATATGACACTTCTCAAAAGTATCCTGTAAAATAACTAATAGGACCCTTTTTTTATAAAGCGTCCTAAAAAACTTGTTAAAACCCTAAAAGCATCCTATAAATCTATTGTAACGCTTTTAGATAGACACTTTATAATTTGGTCCTATAAACCTAGGTTCTATAAAGTATTCTATTATGATGCTTAGACAATTTAGGCGTCCTATAAAGCCAATTTTGTTGTAGTGATATCCCACTCGAAAGTAGGGTATGGAGAGGTGAGATGTACGTACTGTCTTCTACACCAAACAGTGAATAGCTATTTACCTTTCTTTTCACCCAAAAAATAAAATATACTCAATCTCAGACAGTACTACACCATCCCTATTTTTATTTATAATTTGGTTCAACTAAATTTTAGCACCCTAATCTTTAGACTAAAATTTCTAGCAAAAATTCGGCATTATTTGTTTTTATTTGTCGATGTATTGATATAAATTCGAAAAATATCCTACGGTTGACCAGGGATTTACAGATGGTATTGAAGTCGGGAACCTAACAGGTGTGTCAGCGAGGACATTCGGCTCCCCGCGGAGTAGATTGTGAGATCCCACATTGGTTGGGGAGAGGAACGAAGGCTGCCTTATAAGGGACTGGATCTCCTCTATCAAACGCGTTTCAAAACCATGAGTCCAAGTGTGAACAAAGCGGACAATATCTGGTACGGTTGGCATGAATGTTTATTGAAATGATGGCCTTCAGTAAAAAAAATTCCATTTTTCTCTCTTATATCATTCTTTTTCGTTTCCTATCCATATCCCACCATCACCCTAAATTAGTAGTTCGTTTATTCATCAAATTCTGTATGGAATTTATGAGACATAATACGACACAGGGAGGGAAAGAAAGTGTTTACCCGGTGGTATATGAACGGATAAAATGGTGCATGTGTAATTTGTGAAAAACAAGCTAGACCACTTGTGCACAGTACTATAACAAGAGTCCAGTAAGATTAAGAGCCTATTAAGTTCACATACAAACAAGTTCTACCACTTATTTTCATTGGATCGATTTATGCATGAAGCAATGCTGACCGACAGGTCAAGTGATTTATGATTGATACCTGTTTGTCCTGGCGAGGTTTTAGAACTAAACCCACAGTCTTTTGGAAGAGCTGGGAGCCAAAGCCAAAGCGACCAAAGCGTGAAGTACCAGATGCTTTACTTTGTGAATCTGCAGAGTTTTCCTTTGACGATTCAACCTGATCCTACATAAAGTTTCCCGCATCACATATTATGATATGAGAGCAATCGTTCACACTTTACTATTGATTTCCTCCTGTTAGAGTCCCACATCAGCTAGACTTAGACCTTTCTAAGGGTTCTTTTGGACAGTAGTCTAATGGGGTCCCACATATTTCTCACATGGTATCAGAGCCAAGTCTACCTTTCGGACATCATTGCTGCGGCTTGACACTCCGAGACATATGTGCCCATCTAGCCTCTATGGAGGGGGCATGTTAGAGCCAACAGATTCTCCAAAATGGATATTTTGGGCAAATTTTTTGCTACGACAGATTCTCCAAAATGGAGAAAACATGAGAGAGAGTGATTCTCCAAATTTGCAGAACTCCCCAAAAATGATTACCATGAGAGAAACAACTGTTTTTATTATATTCTCACCAATAAGAAACCTTGATGTTAAATGTTTATGCGAGAGAAATCATATTTTATTACATGTATAAAATACTTTAATAATATAATTAATATTGTAATATCTAAAATAGAGAATGTATAGAAGTTGGATGTAATTTCTTTCGAGATTTTGAGTTTTTATTCTCCATTTTAAAGAAATTTTGGAGAATCTGTTGGAGATGCTTTTAGACTCCCACATCGGCTAAACTTGGACCTTTCTACTTAATTGTATGTGGAACCCCTTCTCCTTTATCGGCTCTTTTAGAGAGTAATATGATGGGGTTCCACACATTTCTCATACCTCCCAATTAGCCAATAGAGGTGGACTACGACGAAGGATCGTATGAGAATAGGAGTTAAGATGAGAAGTGTAAGAAGAGATTTGGACCCTTGATTACTTTTAATCCCAAAACAACCCATGAATTTAGAAGGGAATTGATCTAGTGGTTCTCTTCAATTAGGATTGATCCAAGGGTGGAGATCCTTCTCACCATAACTTCCATTCTCACCGGAACCCGACCCTATATATACACACACACACACACACACACATATATATAGACGAAGGATCGTGTGAGAGTAGAAGTTAAGGTGAGAAGTGTAAGAAGGGAATTGAACCCTTGATCACTTTTAGTCCCAAAATAACCCATGAATTGCGCTTTAAAAGAGAACTGATCTAGTGTCTCTCATTAGTGTTGATCTAGTGGTTCTCTTCAATTAGGATTGATCCAAGGGTGGAGATCCTTTCTCGCTGTATCTTTCATTCTCACCAGGACCAAACCTGGTGGACCGAATCATTTGGAATAGACACTACTAGTTCATTCGGAAGAATACTTGCATAAATTAATGGGGTGAAAAAATAAAGTTAACACGGAATTCAAATCATATTACAACCTGCCTGGGAGACCGACCAAAGTCAGGTTCGGATACACTTCTGTTATGCATGATTCTTCTGTTGTTCCCCTCTGCAGACTTCTGAGTGATGGGCTCCATGGATGCAGACGGAACCAATGACGACATCGCCATTGTTGATTGACTAGCAGATACCCGAGGCCCTGTGGGTTGATGATAATGGTAATTTTGCGCACCAGCACCAGATGTTGAGGGGACGGGTGGTGGTAGTCCCCCAACTACACGATGTGCGGTGCTATCAAAAAGGTTGAGCAATTTTCCAACTAATTTCCCAGGAGCTAAGTTTGTAGAGAACCCTCCCTGAAAATTATTAGTAACAATAATAAACAAAAAAAATTATACTTTAGAGAAACGTAACACCGTATGCATCCAAAGGGTCATTGACCCAATGGTACCAGGGTTACTACTTACTGGTAGAGTCCAACCTCCCAGGAGGTCAAGTCAAGGGTTCAAACCGGGTGATGAGTGTGTGTGAGTATTTGTTGTATATAAATATTAGAGTAAAATAGGTGGGTTGTTAATAATTTCGATTTTCGTCCCTATGGTTCGGAAATTGCAATTTTCGTCCCTGGACTAAATCCTACCTTTAAAGTACAAGGGATCAAAACAGTAAAGAATTGTAAATAGGGACGAAAACCACAATTGACGGAAAAAGTAATTTACTCTAAATATTATACTTAAAGGAAAAAGTAGAACACAGTTTTTGTCAGTGTGATTTTGTTAATGACTTTGATTTTCGTCGCTGTGGTTTAGAAATTGCAATCTTCGTCCCTATGCGTTTGTAATTTATTGCTATTTTCGTCCCTATGCGTTTGTAATTTATTGCTATTTTCGTCCTTGGACTAAATCCTACCTTTAACGTACAAGGGATCAAAACAGTAAAGAATTGTAAACCACAGGTACCAAAACAACAACGAATTGTAAATCATAAGGATGAAAATAGTAATGAATTACAAACCATATGAAGGAAAACCACAATTTCTAAACCATAGGGACAAAAATCGCAATTTTTAGCAAATCCCCTGAACGAGAAAGGTAACTTATTCTAAATATTACTCCCTCCATCCCAAAATAAGTGTCCACATTTCTATTTATGTTTGTCCCAAAATAAGGGTCTAGTTTCTAAAAAGAAAAATTCTAGCCTTAATTAATGCATAAATGTTTAAGAGTTGCGAAAAGAGAAAAAATAATCTAGAAGTAAATTTGTCATTTGGTTAACTAAAAAATGTAATTATTATGCATGTCTAAAACAATGTGTCCTTTCCATTCTGGACACTTATTTCCGAATGGAGGGAGTATATACTTAAAAGCAAGAGTAAATTACACTTTTGGCCTTGTGGTTGCCACCCACTAGCAACTCTCGTCCCTCTTTTGAACTAATAGTTTTGGTCACTGTGGTTGCCATTTTGTTTCACTTTTGGTCCCTCCTACTAACTTCTGTTAAAAAGGTCCGTTAACTCGGGGGCATTTTGGTCATTTTAAGATTTCATTAATTTTCAAATAGGGACGAAAACTGCAATTTTTAACAAACCCCCAGGACAAAAAACGTAATTTACTCTAAATATTATATACTTAAAAGAAATAACACTGCTGCATGAAGTAACTAGAGTACGAACAGGTTACCTGTTGGTAAGTTTTTATCCTATCCTCTAAGGACGAAATCATATGCCTCCATGTTTCTACTTCCGGGGCTCGGCCAGTTTTCAAAGATTTTGATATTGATTGACAATACCTGAATTATAGAACCACTTAAGGAGAAAAAGCATAAAGAAATGATATTCTAGCGAACCAATAAATATTTTAGTTTTTGTATGCGTACTTCAATGAGTCAGATACTCTTCCTACTTCAGCCAACATATGGGCATATATAAGCTTATATGGTTGAAATGGTAGCAAGGTGAACTGAGAGTTCCCCAGAAGCTTTGAATATTCATACACCTCGGTCCTCTGCCCGCATTCACAATATTGTTATTTCAACAAACCAATACAACAATATAATTAATAGCATCACACGTTATGATCCACTGAAGCATACTACTGTCCATGTAGAAAAGCTAATTTATGAACAGGAAATCTAGAGGATCATAACCATTAACCACCAAAGTAGACAAGAAACCGAAGGGCCACTGGCCCAGCTGTACCCAGTAACCCAACCTTCCTGGAGGTCAAGTATGGTTGTTTAGAAAAACATTGGACCGCTCAAACCAGTCGAACCAAGTCAAACCGGACCGTTTTTGGCGGTTCGAGCGGTCTAGCGGTCCTGTCTGGTCTGTGGTTTGAACGTTTTTTGAGTGGTTTGGACCGAACTGACTGCCAAATACATGTGTATTAATTACATGTAGTTTCATGTTGTAGGCTCAAATTTTATGCCCCATTTAAAAAAGTCCAACCACGACTTTAACTTTTTAGTTTCACTTCTACATTGTCCGGGTTCTCTAAATCAGCAAAATTCCGAAATACTTCAAAAATCAAAATCCAAAATTCCAAATCGTCTTTGACTTGCTTAATGTTCGTCCAAAAGTCCAACTACTGTTGGTGAACTTGTTTAAGTTTTTTTTTCAACTTGCTCAATGTTTTTATTTTATTTTCGGAGATAGATGTTTTCTTTTATAATTCCGTATATTATTTTTGATTATGTTATATTGGTAGAAATTTCATTTTAGATATATATGATATATATTTTTTAGTTTAAAGCCCATAATAGCCTCAAACCGCCTAAATCAGTTAGACCATACCGCCTTTTTGTGGTCTGGTTTGACCGGTTTGGTCACTTGCTTCCAAACCACACCATTTGGAAGATTTCCTAAACCGCCATTTCGGTTGGTTTATGGTCTGGGGGGTTAAACCGCCAAAACCGGACCGCGAACACCCTAGGTCAAGGGTTCAAGCCTCACCAAAGGTGATAAGTGTGTGTGAGCATTTCCGTATATAAATATTATATACTTCAAAAGAAGAAGTAGGCAAGAAGGGAAACAAGGTTGAACAAGGTCAAGGAATCAATATTAATCTGCAACATAAAAGAGTAGTAATTTGATATGAGCCACACCTGAATGGCTTCTGGACAGGCATATGTTCGGGGATGTTTCCAGTGATCTGCACCAATCAGACACAGTCTAGCACTGTCTGAATACGGCTCAAAGTTAGCTTCTGCAACTAAGTAGCAAATATGTGCCGCGATAATCTGAATCATTTGTTAAAGAATCACAAACTTGAAAGCAAGCACAGAATGCATTTTAAATGGAAATTAGTAAATCAACTGTAGTATGCTTCCTTGGAGCACTCACATTACTTGTTTCTTTCCACAAACAGTCTCCAAGATGAATAAGCACCAGTTCATCGTCTTTGGTCCTGTTAGCAGTAATCATAGCTAAATTTTCTTCCCAGTCATCAAGCATAGCATTAGCACCAAGTTGAGCCTACAGCAAAGGAACAAGTGAGCATGCAATGAAGCATGAGCAACAAACTTGAATGCAGAGGACCATAAAATTGTCAAATTGTCCCTATATGTAATCATAGACTCATTGTTCACTCTTTAAGTAGGTTTAAGAATAATTGGTCTGAAATTCACATTCTTGAAAGCTACAATAGTGAGATAAGAGTAGAAAAGAAGAAAACTACATCGAATCAAGCATATCCACATTACCTGTACAGGCTGCGGAAACATATTTACAGCACCAGCAGTGCCACCATCTGTTCTATTGTCAGTCGAAAACACATCTGCGGGTTGACCAGCAATAAGTAGGCATAACGTCCGCAAAGGTGAACCCGCTACAAGCTGGCGAAGAGCCATATTCCTGACGGTGTCCACATAGAACTGCAATAAAGAGCCCATCACCACGAAACATCAGAAAGAAAACAAAGGATAAGCAAAAGAACATCAAAAAATGCAGTTTCTCCGTAACTTTTTTAACCATGAATAAAGAACATACGGGTGTTCATCTAAACCGCCAAACTGTACAAACCGCAAACACTGCACCGCAAAATGCTGTTTAAAACTTTCACAGTGCGGTATGGGGTTTGAATTTTCATCAAACTGCACATTGCGGTGTGGTTTGCGGTTTTGAGTCATCAAACTGCGGTTCAAACCACACTGCACCACATATTTTTTATATATTTATGCATATAATTATTTATCAAATGAAAATATTTTAACACATTTTTGGTTATTTATCAAATTTTCAGTTTTTCTCTCAAGTTTTTACGTTACAAATTCCTTATTTGAGTTATTTTCATTTGTCTTTTGTCAAACATCATGGTTGAAATTACTTTTAGGTTAACTTTTAAGATGGACTTGGATTAATTACCGAACTATTCAGAAGCTTTTATTGCATGGAATATAGGAGCATAATCATCGAATTTATTTTAAAGTTTTGATTTTATAATTATTAGATTGAAGTGCATTATGTTCGAACCGCATAAATTGCACCACATCGCACCGCAAAAGCCATATGCAGTGCGTTTTGCAGTTTGGGAAATCTTCAAATCGCATATGCAGTGCGGTTTGCAGTGTGGCCCTAAACTGCACCACAAACACCCCTTTAAGAACACAGTGGAAATAGGAAGTCTGGTGGGAAGTGGAGAGAGAGAGAGAGAGAGAGAGAGAGAGACCTGATCACCAAGTTGTGCTGCAAGAACAAGGGCAAGCCCCCACAATTGACCCTCCTGTGCATGTTGAAGTGCCTCTATCTTTCTACCAGAAACCAGCAGAGTTTGGACTTCAGCAGCAGTTGCCTGAGTCATATATACATAAGTAATGAAAGATGAAGAAATTTAAAGGGGCAGAACAAAGCAGTGCAAACTGAACAGGCATGAAAAGATTCTGTCCTAATACGGGAATTAAGAAAAGACTATGAAAATACCTGGCTCTGTCCTTCTGAAGGAAACTGTTGCAAGCAGTTGGTGAAAGCACCATAATCAACATATTCTGCACTGCTTCTCTTTGCAGATGCAAACAGTCTAGCAACAGCAACATCTGGAGCGTCATTTTCCTAGTTGAAGTATCAAAATACCAATATTATATGTGGAGCCATTTACAGAACAGGTAAGAAGGCTTCAGCTGTCATCAGTTACAAATCTAATATGAGTGGATCTGATCTCTCTCTCTCTGTATATATATACTGTATACATATGTATATATAGGGTCAGGTTTAGAGGAAAACCTCAAAAAAATGAAAAACTAGAGAACACTCCGTAACCGTGTTCATCTAGAAGGTATGCACATGTGTATACAAGTAATTGTAAAAGATCTAGATCTTTCAGCCACAGTCTCAGTTAGGATGGCATACTAACCCCAATTGACAGGCTGACAGAAGTATTTTGATTATAATGCTTGTGTAGTTTTAATATGTATCGTTAAATCTTTTCTTTCGAACTGCTTACCCATTGTAAGGAACTCCTAGTCCAAATGAAAAATGATATTAAGAGCAGGTAATAATATAAAGACCACAAGAACATGTAACTTTTATGGCAACATAACTGGTCTCCAAATGGTTTCAATTGAGCTTGGGTCCAGAAATACTGCACTTAGAACAATGCAAGAAACTAACCACAAGGGTTGTGGCGTAGTGGTTGAGGCCCTGGGGGATGTGGTGGAATATCCCATCTGCCCAGGGTTCGATTCCAAGCGTACACAACAATTGTGGCCACTGTGTTTATCAGGGCTGATTTCTTGTAGTCACAATTTGCCGGGATAAGTCCAGGCATAGCCGCCTGGGACACCCTTCCAAAAAAAAACAATGCAAGAAACTGCTGCGGTGCTTGTCAGTTACTAGGATTGCTGGTTAAGTTGAAAAAAACACTTGGAAGATAAAAATTTCACCTTTGATGTAGTGTCTGTGCCAAAAGGAGAACGCAATTTCCCATAGTGTTGTGAAGCTATTTTTAGCAAGGAAAGGAGAAGCCTTAGAACTCCTACTTTCCTGTAATCAATGTCAGTAGGGTGTGCAATCCTCTCATCAATCCACCTATTCAACTCTCTACCACCAACATTTCCAGCAGCCAGTGGACCAGGAAAGGATTGCCGGCAAAGAGCATGAAAGTAACCACCTACGCCTGTTGCACTGCTTGATGCATCAGCTCCTCCAGGAACAATTTCTGTCAGGTTAAGAACAGAGACTGACCCAGCGCTTGAGTCCTTCTACATGACAAACAAATATTAGTAAATAACATGACAGATTTTTTAGGTAAATACAGGTGGAGATAAGGGTGCTCAAAAGACCGACCAACCTGAAAGAACCCAAAAAAAGTGAACCCGAGATAACCGGACACATAGTTGATACAAAATGAGGCCAAACCGCATCTATTGGGTTGTAATCGGATTAGGATCGTTTGAACCCAACCGAACCTGATGAACCCGATATCTTTCTATACTATGGATTTAATATGATTATTAAGCCTTTGATTAACATATGTACATTCGACATTAAACGAATCTGTAATTAGCTATATTCAAAATTATATTACATTTCCACCGTAATTTTACTTTCTTATTTGCATAAACCTTCAACTTTCTTATGAGTTTGTTAGCCTTTTTTCTATGTTCTCATTTTGGTTTTACTTCGTTTAAACATAAACGCTTAGCTAGATTATAAAATGATGTACCAAAGTTTTAACCCGACCAACCCAACCCAACCCGCAAACATTGGGTTGGATTGTTCAATGCCTTCAACCTGGCCAACCCAAACCGTGTGTAGCCCTAGGTGGAGACAAAAGAAAATGCTAATATTTGTCAGATAGGCTCACCGGGGTTCCATAAGATGAATTTATGAGAGGAGTAGCATCCTTCATCACAAGTAGCTTCCCACCAAAACCAAAAGTAACCAAAGCATGAGGAGGGCGCCCAGCGGATGACCTTCCTGCAGTAGAAGCAGATCTTTGATGTCCACGCTGATGAACACTTGGCTGAGAATAGCTTAACAGGTTCTGATTGCCATAGGCCTTTGTGGCATTCATCATCTCACTTTGCTCAGTTGTTGATTGGTGGAATGGCTGACTAAAGTTCCCACTAGGAACAAAGGAATGGGACCCAGAAACGGCAGGGAACTCATTACGAACCTGACTAGCTTTATTAAAAGATGAAGCTGTTCCCCCATCATCATAAGATTGCTGTCGGTTAACGTTGTTATCTAAAGGAAAATTAGCACCATAGTGATTCTGTACATGTTGGTTGCCTCTAGGATATGACATAGATGAATTCTTGTTAACATTATCAGGTTGCCACATACTTGAACCTTGCTGTTTACTGAAAGACCCATTCCAGTTATAGTCTTGTCCTTGGCTACCGAAGACTTCAAATCCAGACTGCTTACCTATCTGGCCCTGCCCACCAAATACTTTCTGTTCATTTCCATAATAACTATTAGTTGCGGAAAAACCATTTTGATCGACCTGGTCTTGAGCATGAGCGGTTTGCATAGAATTATATGCATCCAAAGCACGCCATTCTTGGGCATTCATGTCATAATACCAACCTGGATATTGGGGATCAAAATACATATGTGAGGGATATCCGTTATTTCCTTGTGATGCCTGACTCCAGTTTGATAAACTGTCATTAGTGTGACTAACTTCTGAAACTGAACCCCAGCTCATGACACTTTCGGTTGTGCCTTTTTCTGCTGCATCCCCCACAAAAGATTGGGAAGTTTGCTGCAAATAAGCAGCCTCTGATTTTGTATTAGAGACGGTCCATTCAGAAGTTGAATTATCAACCCCCTGTGCATTTGCTGTTGCATCATAACCTTCGTTGACTTGATACCATTGGCCAGTATTTGCATCATACTTCCAACCGGGATAAAGATTCTCCCAGTACTGACTGCTATTTATATCTTGACCATCTGTACTTTGTCTCCCAGATGTAGTATAGGACTGACCCTCTTGAAATTGATGTGAATAGCCATCAGCACCATCCACATGTGGTGAATTACCGATTGAATTCGGTTCACTATTAACAAAGCTATCCCCTTTCCTCGTCTGGTCAACAAAATTATCTCCAAAATCCGTGAAGAAGTCAGAGTATGATCCAAACCCATTGTTACTGTCGTCAAGAGGCTCAGCAGTGAAAGCACTCCACTGTACCTCCTTAACACCTGAAGCACCCCCAATTCCATGATACCCACTTGCTGTAGAATCCAATTGTTCCGCCATCCCTATCCCATTATTAGGTTCATTATTCACATTATCGAATGCAAACGAATTAGAAGATACTAACAACTCACCGGGGTCCACTTGCTTTTCGGTTGACTCGTATTTGAGAACCCCACTAATTGTAGAAGAAGCTTTATCATCCTCTTCTCCTCCTCCTGCACCTGCTTTCTGTTCTTTAAGTGCATTTCTGCCATAATCGATGCTCGAAGTAGCACCTGCTTTCTGTTCYTTGAGTGCATTTCTGCCATAATCGATGCTCGAAGTAGCACCTGCTTTCTGTTCTTTGAGTGCATTTCTGCCATAATCGATGCTCGAAGTAGCACCTGCTTTCTGTTCTTTGAGTGCATTTCTGCCATAATCGATGCTCGAAGTAGCACCTGCTTTAGCCTTATCAGAATCATTTAGATTATCTAATTGGGCTGCCTTGCCTGAAGATGATGAAGTGATATTAAATTGATCATCAACATCATCGACCAATTTATCAAAGAAATCTTCATCAGTATCCTCCATCTGCAATGGAGGAGTTGAACCCAACCCAACCCTAAATAGCTTCTCTCGATCTCAAAATCAATCCATCCATTTCAGAAATATTCGAGCTAATAACGTCATATATACAGAAAACCGCCTAATCAATCCACGAAATTCCCTAAATTGTTATACACCACAGATAGAAAACATGAAATGATCTATCTAGGGTTTTACCGATCTCCAACGAATAAATCAATCAAACACATATTGGCAGCAAAAATTTACCTTCGAACACTCTCAATGCATCAATCTGAAGAGCACAGAATTCCGAAAACAACACGCATTTTTTAACTTAGGAATCAAGACGCTAATCTGAAGGAAATCACAATACATATAGCAATCTATATGTATAGAGAGAGAAACAAGAGACATACCCACAATTTCGCACCAGAGGACTCAACAACCCATAAAAGCATGGTTTCATTTTTGTTACGATTATTTACAAATTTAACCCTGAACTATTTACTCTTGCATTTCTCTCAAATTTTTTCTGGTTGATCCTCCGTCATCGAAACTGTGAGTTGAGCAACAATGGAGGTTCTGCACCGTGGATTATCGTCGATAACTATAACACCTTATTTTGTAATCGATCAAATTATCTACATTTGAATCGATTGATTCACGTTTTGTTCATCTTCACCTTTGTTATCGACAAAAGCATCGGGATTCGAAGTTTTTATTGCTGAATTAGTTTAACAGGTTACATGAGGACGGGAATAGAGCGGTAGCGAGCAAGGGTCGCCGCCATGTCGCCATTGACACCGTTTGGATAAGGTGAAAAGGGTGCTTCTCTTACTGATTACCTACTTCTTCAGCAAGGTCCAATTTTTTCTTCGCATTTGATCTTTATCATTCTTCTTACATCACATTTTGCCTCTTGTAACTCTTGTTGATTGATCCTTTCAACTGCTGTTCATTAATTTCCATTCATTTGTTTTATTTGATTGTGTTCATGCAAATCTGGAATTTCTATGCACTTCTTTCATGTGTTTGTATTTTCCTTTTTTATTTTTATTTGGAGTCATTGACGATAAAAATTTGTATTTTGATTAGTGTATGTGTCGTTTTTTGAGCTAGTGCATCATAGTGGTGAGTCACCGCTATGGTAAACAGTGGCTGAACCTGCAGAAAATTTTTATTGGAGATTTAGGAGGTGTTTGGGATTGTTTGTTTGAAACAACTTATGTTTTTCTACAAAATCACTTATTAACTTATTGTAAGTTAGAATATTTTAATTTCTTTAAAAACTCTTTATTACCGGTTTGGCACCGGTATAAGTTGTTTATCCAAACACTCAAAAATACTTATTATCGATGTCACACTTGAATAAATCAATAAGTTGTTTTTATAAGCAATCTCAAACACCTCCTTAATGCCAAATACGTGAAAGAGGACTGCAGAATTTAGCTTTGGTCAAACCTAAAGCTTTCTAGAAGTGTTGAGAAAGAAGAGTTGTTTTTATATTTGTAGTATTTTTATTTTTTGTTCGTCATGTGGGTTCTGACCACAGTGGCAAGTTTACGTTTAATGTAATTTATGTTTAAGTATTTATGTTCTTCTATAATGTATTTACTTATGAGCAGTAGCTAAACCTCCCTTAGGTGTGGGTGTAAGCCAAGCCCGAGAGTTCAAAATGTAACACTTGCGTGTTACCACTTTTTGCTAACTCCTCGGTTTGGTCATTTGGGTTGAATCTTTAACTCAACACAGTCAAGTTGATCACTTGTAAATATTAATATTAGATATTTGACTTAAAGATGGGCGGATCCGAAATACGGCTTGAATGGTGAAAGGAGGTTTGAGAAAATCTTCAATAATCGCATAGAGATATGGGTTTTTGCATAATTTGACTAAAGTTCAGATGTCGGTTGAGTTGGTGCGTCACAGAGATATGTGCATCTCTCCATATTGGCGGAACTAAGATTTGCAAGATCTACTTAGTACAGTTGGCAAACCGAAAGTTAGCGTTTGTGGAGACTTTATGAGAAAACCGTAATCACAACTCATACGACATAGTTTCGAGAGGAGGAAATCGAATGGGATTATTTTGTGACCGGTGTTATTAACCGTTTAAGTTACTATTATACTCTCGGGTAAAACTTACATCCATACCCGCTTTATATTAATTACTATTTTCAAGATATCATTATTCTACCCAAAACACATCATTTTTATAAACTCTAACTTTACACCGAAAGTTCGTAAAAATCTCCGATTCTTAGTATACCAGTCCCTGTGAAAGACGATATTTAGAACTTACTATTGTATTATTTGAAAAAGCAAACTATAAAAATCAAAGAAGATAATGAACGACCATATCTGCTAACCTTTCATCGTAACTCTGCCACTGCCACTTGTTACAGATATGTCATGCAATCTTTTATTACACAACTTGTGAGGATAGAATATCGATGATCGTCACAAAATATATCTCCGAGTCATGGAAGAAACTCTCTGCTTTCAAGTTGTTATATTTCAATATCAGATCGTACTAATTTTAATAAAAGTAACAGATAAACAATGAAATAATTATAATATCTCGTCACATTTATAGGATGTTATTTAAAAAAAAAAAAGGAACCAAACAATCATGGTATATCCCCTTTTAGAACAGGTGGGTGGACCCACTATGGTGCATACGGCAACATAGGTCGTCAAATAGTTCCTTTGCTGTAATGTAAAAAAAATGTGTCATCGTATTATTTTGTTGGTCTGTATGGTATTTTTTTTCTCCTTTCATATGCGGGCTCGAATCTTTTTTCTAATCATTTTCTTAGTTTTTAACTGTAAATTTCAGGTTTATTTTATGTTTCTGGAAAAAAAAAAGAATTGGGATAAAAAAACCAGAACACAACAATAATAACGTAAGTTTTTTTTGGTAAAGTTGGTTTGCATGGTCTTTTCTCCCTTTTGAGGCATGGGTTCGGATGTATTTATATCAGCTTCTTAGTTTTTACTTTTTAATTTCATTTTTATCATATTTTTGAAAAAAATCCAGATAAAAAATTTGAATAGATGACTTCCCATATATATAAAAAGTAAGGAACTAACTAACAGAACAATGATTATATTGTAAAAAATGTTCATACTTTTGTTTTTTATAATCAAATGGTGTTACCAACTTACCAGTTAGGTTCAAAAGAAAACTGTAAAAAAAATGAAAATTTGAGATACATGACCATAATAACCCGTTCATCTATATGATATGTAAATGTGCATACGCATGTATACATGTATAAAAACCAGAAAACATCTTCAATTATTTATATTACCATACAAATGAATGATTTTTAGGGTGTTACTCAGTTTTTCATTTGTTCGCTTCCCTAAACCCACGCCTCCCTCATATACATTTATAGACTTGTTCATCGTTTGACATCAATTGGATGTGAGGGGAACCACACCGATCCAAACATCCATTGGATGTTGGATTTTGCCAATAATTTGCTTTTGCCAACCGATCCAGTGGATGATCCAATGGGATTGGATCCATCGAGTGTGTTAATCCAATCTAATTCTTTAACAATGATACAAATTAATTAATCACTTTTAATATGTGTTAAAACCAACACAAGAGAAGTTAAAAATACAAAGTCTCACATAAAACAAATTCCGATTTAAAATAATTTGAGAATAAATTAATTGGATGATAGCTGGATAATGGTTTGATGGACAACTCGATGGTTATCGGATGATTAATTGGATGTTGATCGGTTCAATTCTTTCAGTTTTGGTCGGTTCTAGACTGTCATCCGAGAACCGACCGATCTAAATTAGATGTTGAAATTTTCAATCCGATTCAATCCAATTACAATTGAATATCCAATTATGGGTCGGTCGATTTTAATTGGATCGGTTGATTTTCTGTACGCCCTAAGTTTACACATAACCTTTTATCTTAAAAGCTGTTAAATCTGCGTCATATAAATGTTTAGAAAAACTGATAGAAAGCTTTGAAGAACGGTTTGCTAGTTGAGGAGTACAAGCCATCACTCATCCCACTTCTAATCGAAGCGTATCTCTCTGATATATTACCATATATATATATATATATATATATATATACACACACACATACACACACATATATGTGTGTGTGTGTATATATATATATATATCATATGCTATACTTGTAATCAAAAGCAAAAAACAACAAACATTACAATCAAAAAACAAAAATGGCTTCCACCACCATCAAAGACAAGACGCTTTCTGGCTTCGGAAACCTCATAAAGCTTCTCCCCACCGGTACCGTCTTCGTCTTCCAATTCCTCAACCCCGTCGTCACCAGCTCCGGCCACTGCAACACGGTCAACAAATACCTCTCTTCCATCCTCATCTCCCTCTGCGGCGTCTCCTGCTTCTTCTCCTGCTTCACCGACAGCTATGAAGACGACGACGGAACCACCCATTACGGATTCGCCACCGCCAAGGGCTTCTGGCCATCTCCGGCGCCTTCTTCCGCCGTGGATGTTTCACAGTACAAGCTTCGCGTCGGAGACTTTGTGCATGCAGTTTTCACGGTGGTGGTTTTCGCGGCGGTGGCGTTGTTGGATGATAATACGGTGGAGTGTTTGTATCCGGCGTTTGAGACTAACGAGAAGATGTTGATGATGGTGGTGCCGCCGGTGATCGGAGCTATTTCTGGGTCGGTTTTTATGGTGTTTCCGACGACTCGACATGGGATCGGGTACCCATCTACGAGGCCGGCGAAGGCGAGCAAGTGACGTAAGCATGATGCGTAATATATGAAAATGGTGACGTAAGCGTTGGTTTTTCGAACGACTGCATTGCTCAAGGAAGCATGCAAAGTTGTATTTTTTATTTATATTTTGTAAGGTTGTGGTTTGTGTGTGTTTTTAAACTGATTATCTGATGCCGAAATATGACACGTGGATTAAAAGATACTACTCATATAATCTATTGATAGACATTTTGATTTCATTGTTAGTTTTCGTTTTTTTATCTATCTCGATATAATACGATTTTATGTGATTTTAAAAAAATGATAATATTTTTATTTTTAAATAAAATATAAATTTGAAAATATAATAAAATTTTAAAAAAAAAACTATATTGATATTAATATCAAATTAACTATTTAAAAGTTTTTGTTTCGTGTAATTTCTTTAATTCAAATTTCCTATTATAATTTAATTTAACGTAACGAAATAATTTAATTTAGGTTTAATAATATAAATTTTTATAAATATAATAATTAAATATTTGTTCAGAACTTAATAATTATCCTAATTATATTTTAGATTTTTTTATTTAAAATGAGATGTTTATCTTGCATTTGATTATGTTTATCTGCAATTAGTTACACAAATTCAAACATAGAGCTTTAATAAGTTGTACATACGCACAATTTACTTGTAATCTTGAATTTTAAGTAATATGCATTAATAAACAATATTAATTAGTTACACAAATTCAAACATAGAGCTTTAATAAGTTGTACATACGCACAATTTACTTGTAATCTTGAATTTTAAGTAATATGCATTAATAAACAATATTTCGTGCATAAAAAATGGTTTTTAATAGTTTTTGTCAAATGTTTTATAATATATTATACATTATTTAGGTTGTTTTATGTTCAAAATTATATGTTAAATCTAATATTTTTTATTATATGGGTGTTTAAAAACCTTCATACTGTTCAAACCAAACCATTTTTTAAGGTTTAAATTGTCTTGTGGTCCAGTCCAGTTTGAAAAATAGTCAAACTAGATCGTCTAGTCTGGTCTATGGTTTTGAATCTTTGTTTTTTTGAAATGGGTATCCGAGCCAATGCTCGACTAATCCCAGGCACATCTAGGGCTAAAGCATGCCCCTTTAGTAAATGTCGCACAGGATGTGTGAAGAGGGGTTCGAACCTGGGTTCAGCGCTATGAACTGCCCAGGCACTAACCACTCCACCACAACACTGATTGACTGAACTGATCGTCAATTAAAAAAATTGTCCAAGACATTATATTTATATATTTTACTTTTTAATTGTCAGTATAAACTAAATCGACAGAATCCTGAAACCCGTCAAAAATCAAATTCTAAATTGTCTTTCACTTCGTTAAATCACTATGTGTTTTAATTTTAGAGATAGGTGGTTAAATTTGGTAAATAATATCTTTTATTATGTTAAATTAGTAAAATTGTACATCTTCTTATAAACATGTTTTTTTGTATTTTCTAGGAAACGTATCTGTAATTTGTTTGACTTGGTTTAAGTATACGTCTTTATAAAATATTAAAACAGCGTCGTTTTGATAATACAGATTGATAATTAGTTAAACAACCTTGAAATCATAAGACCCTCTAAAGCTACATCCTACCCGATTTGCTTGTAGAAGAGAAGTTAGGAAGGATATCGTTGTCTTCAAACTCATATGAGAGAAGGATTTTCAAGCCACCGTCGTCTTCAATCCAGGGATGGTTCTTGGGGTGGTGGGGTTCATCATTTCCGATCGACCAAGATGACATAAGAGTTCTTACATATATATATATATATATATATATATATATATATATATATATATATATATATAGATGAGTGATCATATGAAAACCCCCTCATTTGTGTAAACCGTGCAAACCACCTTCATTTGTCGATTTCATTGTTTAATCTTATGAAATTTTTTCATGGAATTGTTTAATCTTGTGAAATTGTTTCATATAATACTTTTTTTGATGAAGTTGTTTCATGTATGGTTGTGAAATTGTTTCATATAATACTTAATGAAACTGTTTCATGTATTTCTCTAACATTAATGAAACTGTTTCATGTATTTCT